TATATATATATATATATATATATATATATGTATATATGAAAAATATCTAAAAAATTGATGTGGGTACTCAAATGAAAGATCTTGATGAGTGTAACATCAGGATGAGCTTAAATCTTCAAAAATGTCAATAGTTCACAAGATACAAGGTAATTTCTTAATTATGTATTTAGAGATAGTGAATTTTCGGATGCAGCCTAAATACTTATCATTATAAATTGACTATCGGTGAAAATATTATGAAACCTTGAAAAGGTACAAATTCAAGTTAAGACCTTTGCATTGACACTAAATTTCACTAAAAAAACCGATATGACTATTTTGGACACAAAATTTTTCTTATTCTCTTAATAATATAGATAATAATAATAATAATTACAATTTCAACTATAAAATAACCTTTTTATTAACTTCATAGTAAATTTTTAGTAGAAGCTGATAATGACAAATAAACTACTAGAAAGTAAAGTATTGATAAAACATTATATTACTTTTTAACATCTTATTGAGTTTTCTTAAAGTTACTTTTTATACGCGAGCATATTTTACTCTAAGTATAAGTATAAGTATAAGTAGATTTTATTATCTCGTTAGTTTCTTTGTCGATAAGAGTCTTTGATATTCTTAAGTCGCAACTTTCTCAGTATATTGTAATCTCGAAATAATGAAGAAAAATTTTTATCTCTAGATATTGTCCTAGTTTCTTTTCTACTTTTTTTTTTTTACTTTCTAAAAGCTTAAAGTATTTCTTGGTTTTATTATTTAACTATTTTATGCATTAAAGATAAAAATGTATTATAGACTTGAAAAGGACATTATAAATTACATTTAATTTTGTAATACAAAAGATAAATATTACTTTTCAAATTCAAAAATAAAAAATTTGAATTTTATTTAAAAAAAAAAACTGGTCTTTTTGTTGTATTTTGTTATCAAATTTTTTAGTTAATAATTCAAACTACTTAAAACATCGCTTATAAACAGAGATGCTCTTAAGCGCTCGCTTGTTTTTTGTTGTCACTTTACTGGCTGAAGAACTATCGAGAAATGAGAGAAAAGGGGAACTTTTCCAAGCTAAGGATTATATTATGTGTCGACTCCAGCATCATCAAACTCCAGGACTTGTAAAATGTCCACTTCTGTTTCAAAACGAGGCCACGAATAAAAGAACGGAACGATAGAATCTTTTTTTATTTACGTTTATCAAATACAGTAGAGTTATTTTTATAAAAAAAAAAAAAAAAAAGGATTTATTTCATGGAAAATTCCTTAATTCCCAATCCCATTACAATTACTCTAATAATTATTCACAAATTCAGTGGAAAAAAGTATATAAAAGTATTATTTTTATTTTGTTCTTAAAAATTAAAATTCTGGGTTGAACATTAAAAATACGAAGTCATACACGGAAAAAAGTAAACTGTAATATTCACTCGGATTCCGGTTAATTTGTTATAGTTTCAAACAGTAAAGCGGACATCGGGGTGGCAAAAATATAAATATTACAGAACTTAATGTAGAAAGTATAAAAGCCACAATTTATAATTTAATATCCAAAATAAGTGATTAGTAGCTGTCACTATAGTAAATAACGACTCTTTCATCATAAAAAATTACAGTTTCAAACAGTAAAAATTACCATTTCAATATATAATCGATATTATGAGGAGAAGGGGAACTCAGATGAAAGAGAAGGGGGTCTCACTCTGGGAGACTTTAACATTTAAAACAGTAAAAATTATACTTTTAAAATATACATTTTACCAGTTCAAGCAATTCAATAATTACAGTTTGATTTTTAGCGTTGCGTTTAAAATTTACCATTTTACTTTTTAAATATTGACGTTTGCTTGTATTAGAAATTTACTAACTTTATTTTATACTTTTTACATATCATAAGATCATTTTTTAGGTGCGAAATGATAAATATCAAAGTCTGAATTCTTAATTATTATACTTTAACATTTTAGACATTTACATAGCGAATATTACTGTTTTAAATAGTATTTTCTTCCATGTAAAGAGAAAATTGTAACGTTTAAATGGTAAATATTATAAAGTGAATAGTAAAATCACGATTTAACAGTTTGAAATGGTAATTTTTAGCAGTTGACCATTACTTATTATAAATCGACTGTTATTTATAATAGTTTACTTTTTTCCGTGTATAGAAATAAAAATGTCTATCACGAATTTTGCGTAATAAAAATGAGGAAAACTTTTAGTAGTTAAAGTACTGAGTAGCCAGTTAATGAGCAAGTTGCCCTGTATTCGATTATAAAGCAATCAACTCTCGAGAGGGGTCGTTACTTAACACCAGATGTAAAACTTGTAGCTCGTAATTCTCCTCGGACATTTCCTTTTTACTCAACCCCTGTAACCAGAGAGCTCGAAAACTTTTTCCACTTTGTGTTCCTTTTTTATTGTTGCCCCGGAGTATACAAGAAACAACGTCCAAAGTTTACGCAGCTATTAATTCAACATTTTATTGCACGGTAGTTTGTAGGTGAAATGACCGTGAAACGAGCGTATAAAGTCGGTAAGTCAGGAATGTTTTACTAGTCAACGATGAAAAAGTGCTGACAATAGGGTGTCATCATCCTGGTTGCCTGTGACCAACCTGTGCATTTGATTGAGGGTTTCGATGACGTCACCATCATGCAGAGAAGTAGCTGAATCTACGAATTGTTCTACACTGTACTTGTCGTATTCGCTATTAGATTTGATGCCATCTTGGTAGATGTCGAAGAGAAAGCTGATGCGTGCCATGTAAGTGCCCAGCTGGTTTATCCTTACTCTGAAGTCTATTTCCCGGGGCACGTTGGTAAGAATTTGGGACAATGCCTGGTCCATTTTCAAGTGAAACGAGGCTGACAATTCTGCTATTTGCTTCGATAGCCCGTCTAACTTTACTTGGACTGGATCAATCGTCTTCTTGAACAGTCCCAGAAGAGGTACGTTTCCTGAAGCAATATCACCGATGTCGTGAGCCAGCCCTATTATTTCTTGCAAGTCCGAAAGAATTGGTGTGTTCAGCCCTGCTATCTCCGACCCAATTTGGACTATCAGTACTAGCAATAATGTTCTTAACATTTTGCTAGTTGTAATTAAGTTGCAGTCTTCGCTTTTCAAGTTAAAAAAATCAACTGAAGTATTTAATATTATTTTTCCTCGTAGAAATTGTATAACTAGTCCATATCGTCTTTTAAAATTATTACAACAAATTTAATGTTTTACATTTTTTATCGATCATTGCGTCGATAGACAACAATAATCGGTGGCTTAGAATTCATAACCAATATTGTTCTGTCATTTGAAATAACCTTTCGAGTAAATTTTCCTTCATTCAACGAGTATTTGTAAATGTTTTTTTTAATCGCTAAGGTTTTTAACATTGTAGCCGTATTTTTTATTTAACTTAGATGCAATATTTTTTCACAGAAATTGTCAATAAACTATTGACAGAACTAGATGAATTTTTCACTTTCCGACCTCCTAAAAGTAACTGATATTTAATTTAAATACTCAATAGAAAACTTGAATTTAACAAATCAATGTATTTTTCTGGAAATTTACAAATGTTTTTAATAAAATTGTTTATTTGTCATAATTTTCATAATTGCTGTATAATAATATTCATAATTGGACAAAAATGACATTTATTAAATAGCCGCTTCTGTAGAATTATCTGCAATCATATTTTTCTCTACCATTGTCTTGTTCAAATACTGGACAAGATCGAGGGAATTAATTTTACATCCAAGCATCCCACCAGACTCTTCACTGTAGAGAAGGTAGATGGCGGCACCAGCTACCGGAACTGGAGGGTCCCCAGTGACCAATCGCTTGTCGAAATACGGAAGAGTGTGTTGTGCCACGTCGCGCCACTTGTCAGTAGGCGCGAAGTACGTAGCATCGGAGTCTTCACTAGATTTCGAATTCTCGTGCTTAGTAGGAACGTCTCTACCCCCGACGTCGATCTCTGTTCTGCGAACAAAACAATTGTTTAATTCGAAACATAAACTTTCAATGAATTCCCATCTTACCTTTCCAGTGCGTGATTAGGCATGTCCTTATAGGTTATCCATTTAGAAGGCTTGGCATTACTAGGAATAAGCAAGCCATTGGAAAAATTGAAGGGAGTTATATGGGCTTCCAGTTGCACTGCTTTAACATTGTTAGAATCCTTGCCCAACTTTAGTCCGGTGATACACCAACCGGGTTCTTGGATGTAAAGGTTATCCAGGTTGATATCTCGCTGGCCATTGCGAATCCATGAGTAGTCTATGCCTTCCATCAACGATATTGATCGGTTGCCATTTTGGATGTAAAATGCCCCTCCAGTTGTATTATCCATGTAAACAAACTTTTCAAGTTCTACCAAACTGGTTGAGTTCACTTGGATCGCGGATGAAGCTAGCATCTTGCTTTGCTGAATTTGAATGTGGACCACATTGTCCTGCAGTTCCCACTTTAAACCGGTTACAACCCTAAGGACCATCCAATAAGGTCATTATTAATTAATAAGTTCATTTGGGTGGCTGATTTTGGGTGCTCACATGTTTTTTTTTATGTCTGCCATCTGTGGTCTGAGACTAAAAGTACGAGTGGCTGTTGATTCGGCGTTTTCTTCAGAGCATAGACAGAAGCAGGATGTACACTTATAGAAACCGGGATACGTGGTATAGAGATCTTTATTTGTGCGGCCACTACAGCTGTCTTTTTCACCAAATGTTCCAACATCAGATTTTATCCAAGAGTACCAACTATCGGGGTTTGTTGGCTGTAAAATAATACAAAAATACATTTCTAATAATAAAAATATTAAATAACTTATTTACCTGCTCGCAAACCTCGGAATCACCGAGATCTTGACACGCGCTCATACGTCCGCGACAAAAATTATTTGGCGTCCATTCAACTCTTTGATAATCACCATTGTATTTGTAACTTCTGTAATACTTTTTAGTATCAACATCGCCGCAAGTTGCAGAACAACTCGTTGATTCAGATAACATACTTTCGTGAGCGAGCACTCGTCGAAGAGCATTGATCTTGAAGTACGTTTCACCTGATCAAAAAAATCTTCTATTAATCTCAATTAAGGTCCACAGAATACCAGTCTAAATGATTAAATCAGAAAAAGAGAGTACCTTCGATATGTTTTGGTGGATCGCAAAGAAATAACTCTCTTGATAGTCTCTTTAGCGCTCCAGTTGTGAAGGTCAAGTAGTTTTGGCATCTCATGATCACCTGTTTAACGGCTTTGTCCAACTCGTGTTCAAAAGTCACTAGAATTATTCATAAATTTTTGGTCTACGTGACCAAATCAAGGCTATGCTATCAAATCAAATCTTCTCACCATTTTTATAAATTGACAACAATCCATAAGAATAACTGGCCATAACGAAGCTCTTGACCTCAGCAAGAACGACTATTTCATACAGATCGTAGAGCTGTTGCTGAGGCACCTTGACTTGGTTGCACTTATCAGCAATTTCTCCAGTCTGATGAATCATGAAAACAGAAGAATTTAGCTTTGTTGGTAATCCAAGCTGCTCAAATATCATCTATTGAATGCTTACCGATAGGACAAACACCATCAGTTCGAGCAGACTCTGGTGCTCCTGGTTCAGCTGACCAGGCACCAGCAGATGGTACATTTGCCGCAAAGTGTCCTGGACGTCTCCGTACCTATGAGACGTAGTGACCTTGCAGAAGTCGTCAATGGTGTACGAATCAAACTTGCCTTTTTCCCTGACGTAGTACTCGTAGTCGTCGAACAGGTCGTCGATTCTGGAGACGTGTCCAATGAATTTGTTCATAATGCTGTTGAATTGGACCGTCTTGGGGACGTTCTTCAGCACTGCGGTCATCAGCCTGTCCATCTTGACGTTTATGGCATGGGTCAGTTGGCTTATCTGATCGGAAAGTCCGTCTAATTTCGCGGTTGTTGTGTCTGCGCCAGTGTTAAAAAAAGGAACTTTGCCTGATGATATGTCTGCCACGTCATGGCACAGACTTATGATGTCCTGGATATCGGAGAATATCGGAATGCTCAACGGAAGAACATTGTTAACCAAGATGAGAATTGAAAAACTGTAAAATTGTAGCTTCATGGTTTGATAGCTTTTTATTGCAAACTGATCGGTTTCAAAATGCAAACTGTGACATAACTGTTTGAGTTAGTAGCTTTATTTGTTCGGAATTAATTTTAGCTTTTGATAATCAGGCGTTATCGTATTAATTATCAATTCAGCATTAACAAATTATTGCAAATTTTAAATTAAATAAATTTACATTTGATAACTAACTGCTGTTAGCAGTGAACCGGAAAAGCAAAAATTATCTTTCGGTCAATTCAGAAAGATTTAAAGCAAAAATGTTTTGTTTTTGTTGAAAAAATTTCTTTTTATCTGACCTTGAGATTTATTTTTTTTTTTTTTATTAAAAAAATATATCTTATTTTTTGTTTGATATTTATCAATGAAAGACAATTCTTATCGAAGAAATGCACACCCATTTGTAGAAAATAATTTTATCTATGTTAAAAGCTGTGGAAGGCGATATCTAAATTAACAGTCTGTTGAACCGACGAGGCAACTTTTCAATTTTTAACATTTTATACTAATTCTTGGAACGACCCGGGGAAAACCGGCCGCTGATGAGATGAACATTGTGCTCGTTTACCCTCCAACCAAAGTACTAAAATTTATTTGGCCCATTTCTTTTTATGTAATTTGTTATATTTATTTTATTTATTCAATTTTTAGTGATATTGAAAAGTAGGTCGAATGTAATTGGAGCTAAGCCTCGGCTATCACAGGCTTGACTAATGGAAAAGAATTTCCTTCCTTCCTCTTTTGTTTTTACAGTATTCGTCCTGTTTCCTGAAAAGCCAAAGCTGAACTTTAAAGTTCCGGCTCGCCGCATATCATGTACCGATACACCAAGTTATCGAATTTCAATCACGTCCTCGTACTTTCCACGAGCTCACGCGAATATCGCCTTTCTTTAAAAAAAAAAAAAAAAAAAATATATATATATACATAAAATAAAAATGGTGGAAGCAAAGAATAAAAAAAAATGTTAACTCATCCCACGGGTAGGTGTGCACCGATTTTACAAATAAAATAAAAAAGTATTAGAAAATCCGGGCGAGAAAAGAGGCTCTTTCCCGGGGAAAACGGTTTAGATCTGACCAGATATAATTATATCTGGTCAGATCTAATTATATCTGGTCAGATCTAATTATATCTGGTCAGATCTAATTATATCTGGTCAGATCTAATTATATCTGGTCAGATCTAATTATATCTGGTCAGATCTAATTATATCTGGTCAGATCTAATTATATCTGGTCAGATCTAATTATATCTGGTCAGATCTAATTATATCTGGTCAGATCTAATTATATCTGGTCAGATCTAATTATATCTGGTCAGATCTAATTATATCTGGTCAGATCTAATTATATCTGGTCAGATCTAATTATATCTGGTCAGATCTAATTATATCTGGTCAGATCTAATTATATCTGGTCAGATCTAATTATATCTGGTCAGATCTAATTATATCTGGTCAGATCTAATTATATCTGGTCAGATCTAATTATATCTGGTCAGATCTAATTATATCTGGTCAGATCTAATTATATCTGGTCAGATCTAATTATATCTGGTCAGATCTTTTTATATCTGGTCAGATATGGGATTGGAGACATAATCAGATCTAGTTATATCTTATCAGATCTAAACAGATATAACTATATCTGAATTGAAAAATTCATCAGACATGATCAGATCTAGTCATATCTGATCAGATATAAACAGATATAACTATATCTGGATTGATAAATACATTAGACATAATCATATCTAGTCATATCTGATCAGATCTAAACAGATATAACTATATCTGGGTTGATAAATACATTAGACATGATCATATCTAGTCATATCTGATCAGATCTAAACAGATATAACTATATCTGAGTGGAAAAATACATCAGACATAATCAGCTCTAGTCATATCTGATTAGATCTAAACAGATATAACTATATCTGAGTTGATAAATACATTAGACATGATCAGATCTAGTCATATCTGATCAGATCTAAACAGATATAACTATATCTGGGTTGAAAAAAAAATCAGACATAAAAAGATTTTATTATATCTGGTCAGATATAACTATATTTGTTAACTATTAATAAATACTTATAAACTATTTTACTAAATATACTTTCCTCCCAAACAAATATTTATTGAATGTTAAAAAATATTTATTAGAACTTAATAAATTAAATAATTGTTTTCGAATAAATTAATTTGTTAATAGTTAATAAATCTTCCCATCAGCGTATATTGATAATTAATAATTTGCAATAAATTTGATAAAAAACTTTGTTTATTACGCATCGATCATGGACACGATTCACATTAACTTGTACCCGGGAAAAACAGATTAGATCTGGCCATATATAAACAGATCTGGCCAGATCTGCTAAGGCTATTAACTATAGTTATTACAAACTCTATCTACTCTCGTTTCAAGCAAGTCTCGTTGGTAAACAGGTAATGAATTAGTCTCTCAAGCGTCAGGTCCCAGGTTCGGTTCCCGTGCGCGCCGATTTTTTTTTTTTTTTATGAAAATAATTCTATATAATTGTATATAATTATATATGGCTATTTTTTGTATATAATTATGTATGAGTATATATAATTATATATAATCATTTTTAACCTGGGCAATTTTAAAATTTGACCAGATCTGGTCAGATCTGATTATATCTGGCCAGATCTCGTCAGATAGAGACAATTTAAAGATCTGGACAGATCTGTTTATATATGGCCAGATCTAATCCGTTTTTCCCGGGGAGGAGGTTGAGACAGCGAACAGTGTGTATGAATCTACAAGCTAGGGCAGAAAGTATTATCTAATGAAGTCATACATTAATAAATATAATTAACATACTTTGACTGAATACTTTATTTTTTATAACTTCAATACAGTAAAACATTTATAATAATTTTAATTAGACTGCATACTCATGCTGAAATATATTTTAAAATTGATATTAAAATAGATATTAAAATTTACACCTCAATCGATATCATGGAAGTATTCATTAATTTTTCAAAACTTTTTAGACAGTAGATTGACTAACGTCTGCCCATTTGCTGCTGATTACAAACCATACATTCGAAAAGTTCTCTGTATCTGGTAGATTGTCATAAACTTTAATTATTTTTAGTTTAGCAGAATATACATTTACTTATGTACCTATTTTGTTAATGTCTTATCAAAAGTGATAAATATTAGCGAAGGACATTATAGAAAATTTATTAGTACTTCTATAATAACAGTAATTATCCGCTGTCTTCGTTATTGATGTTTGTAACAAAAACTAAATTTTTTATCACAAAGCTGCAGTCGATAGCTGATCCACAGATTCGATAGAATCTGGCGCCAAGTTCCGTTCAAATCCGTTGTTAATAATTAACAGTGACCTAGAAAAGTAATAGCCGCTTTTAGACTGGTCATACAACTGTCTTTATGATAATGCAAAAAAAATAATTTTCAAGATAATTTAAACTATGTAAAAGTTGAATATTTATTTAGTTACAATCAACACATTTTAATATAAGCACAATAAAATTTAAAAAAATTGATCTGCCATAAATAAATGTTCTCATTTATTTCGTTCTAAATTTCATCCAAAAAAACTATTTTGTTCTGTAAATCAATTTGACTTTATCTTGCTCACTGGTTTGGCATTTGTCGCAAATACGGAATAATTTGCGAGTCAATTTGATAAATTTTTTTTCAATATTATGACTAAATTGTTGGAAATTTGGTGCTTTTACCTTAATTATGTTTATAAATGAAGAAGAAAATAATTTTTCACCAATAAAGATTCAATCAATCTGGATATTTAATATTAACATATCAATCTAATTGCAATCAAAATAAAATAACAAATATATAAACTACTCGAGTTCAACGAAATGATTCATTATTTGGTTTTCGGGTTTATCTTTGAAGAGTTCAACATTTTCCGGTGACATTGTGGGGTTCAAGTATCTGGAAATGTCATAGGTAAGCAAGTTGAAGGCAAAGAACCCGCCTGAATCTCCATCATTGATGCGAAGATAGAGGGAGACACCGGTAAGTGGAACTCGTGGATAGGGCGCCACCAGTTGCCGATCAAAGAATGGAACAGTGTTATGTCCAATTTCTTCATACCCGTAAGTGTGCTGGAACCACGTTACTGCAAAGTCATGTTCAGTCGGAAGATTGTCGTAGAATTTGAAGGGGCTAAATTTGGCAGTTTTTAAATCTACCCATTCGCTACATTTGTATGAAAAACAAATTAATACGAAAAAATGACTTTTTAACTGACGAACATTGAAAAGCTTACCGCTTATTGTAACCCTTGTCGTGATCAGGCATGTCTCGGTAACTAATCCACTTGGACGGCTTGTCACTAGTTGGAGTTAGCAAGCCTGCCTTGAAATCAAAGGGTGTAATGTGTACGTCCAGTTGGACAGATTGATCATTTTCAGGATCGCGAGACACCTTCAATCCAGTGACCACGTAATCCGGTTCTCGGGCGTGGACAATGTCCAGGTTGACATCGCGGCGCCCGAATCGTATGAACCAGTAATCAGTACCTTCTTTTAATGTTACAGTAGAGTCGCCATCTTGCATAGTGAACCCGCCGCCAGAAACGTCAGTTAAGTAAGTGAAATCTCCTAATTCTACTAAATGAACTGAGTTTTTTTCTATCTGACCGGTAGGGAGCAATTTTCCTTCCTCGATTTGGACATGGATCATCTTGTCTTTCAGCTCGAATCTTACGCCAGTCACTATCTTAAAATCACATCATACAAACATATGTCATGCATTTGTGATATATTTATATATATATATATATATATATATATATATAGAAAAAGTTTACATATTGTTGTCGATATCGGCCATTTGGGGTCTCAAACTAATAGTTCGGATTTCTTTTGCAGCTCCATTTTCTGCCGAGCATTGACACCAACATACGGAACATTCTTACCAGTTAGGAACATACACAGCCAACTGTATGAAGTTTCCATTGGAGCAACTATCTTTCTTTCCGAATACGCCATATCTGTCACTATTTACCCAAGAGTAACGTTCTTCTTGGTCTGCAGGCTAAAAAAATTTAATAAAAAAATGTCATGCTGATCTGAAATATTTATTAAATAGATAAATTTACCAATTCACAAATGTCAGTATCCATTATGGTGGCACAGTCATAAATGCGCCCTTCACAAGGCGAAGCTGGGCTCCAGTATGGTGTCTTAGATCCTCCTTTATATTTGTAGTCTCGCTTATAAGATCTAACATTCACGTCGGGACAAGTCGTACCACACTGATCAGTATCGGCCACTATATTTAATACCAACAGCAGAATGAGAATTTTTTCATTGTTTAAGATTTTGTAGTTTTTAAAATATATAAATTAAATTTCTAAAATTGCAAAATTTAACATATCTATCTGTAATTTTTACAGAAATTTATTTCATGCAGATCTAAACGTATTAATGTCTTTATTTGGACATATTAAGCCACATTGAGCCAAATGAGTCCATGAATGATTGCGAAAGGGTGTGTAAAAAAACAAAATTTTATTTTTATTTAATATTGTGTTTTTTATTTCATCAATCTTCGAAATTGAATATCCGTTAAAGAGAAATCATGATTTGAACAAAATATCATTGAAATTTACTCGATTTCCTCTGGTGGATTGTTGAGCACTTCGCTCTCGTATTTGAGTAATACTCAAGATCTTGCTGGGACATATGGGGGTTTAAGTAAGTTGGAATATCCAGAGTAGTTAATCTGAACCCAAGGAACCCACCGGAGTCCTCTCTTCCGAGATGCATTAGAGAGACGCCCTCTAGCGGGATCCGCGGGCGCGGCACTATCAATTGTCTGTCCAAAAATGGAAGGGTGTGATTACCAAGATCTTCAAATCTGTCCGAGGTTCCAAACGATACTACAGCAAAGTCTTCCGATGATGGTACATGGTCATAGTAATTTGTCGGTAAATTTTTTTCTGCAGCTTCAACTTTAATTCTGGAAGAAAACGACATTAGACAAAATTTTAGAAACAATGAAAATTTTTTGAAAATTTACCGGTCTTCGAATTTCCGGTCTTCTTTAGACATGTCTTTGTAAGTTATCTACTTAGAGGGCTTGTCATCAGTCGGAGTGAGCATTCCTGAATCGAAATCAAACGGCGTGATGTTTACCTCCAAATGCAGTGACTCTTGAGTGTCCGGATCTAGAGATAATTTCACTCCAGTTACGATATATTGTTTTTTAACGAGTCAAAAATTTTCCATAATGACTTAATTTAATTGCTCAAGTAAGGTTTACAAAAAAAAAAATTAATTCGTATTAAATTATAGCTATATTATTATTGCTCTCTAACTTTTACTATTCATTTGAATGAATATCAATAAGTCTTTCTATTATATGACTTGTTATCAAAAATATTTTATATTTTGTGAAAAAATTTTTGATATCTCTTTACTAGAACTAGAAATTTATTGTTTTTTTTTTTTTTTTTTTTTTGTAACAAAATTGTATCTTATTTTTTATTTGATATTTCTGAAAATATAAAAGACAATTTTTATCGAAGGAATATTAGGCACCATTTGTAGAAAATTACTTTATCTATGTTGAAAGCTGTCGAAGGCGCCATGTAGTAACAGCCTGTTGGACTGAAAAGACAACTATCAAATAATTTACATTTTGTAGAAATTTTAGATATGAGGAGTTTGAGGCAACGAGCAGAGTGTATGTGTCTATACATGAGTGCAAAAAGTCTTATATACTAAATTCATACATTAATACATCTACTGAACATACTATTACTGAATACTTTATTTTCGATAACTTGAAAACAGTAAAACATTTATTATAATTTTAATTAGACTGCATACTCATTCTAAAATAAATTTTAAAATCACAGATGTTGAAATCTACGTCTGAACTAATACCATGGAAGTATTCATTAACTTTTCAACACTTTGTAGGTGCTGCTCTGCAAACTCTGGCTTCACTTGAACATTCATGTAATGATGAAGATCGACTGTCCGCAATTTGAACCCAATGAAACCAGCAGAGTCATCTTTTCCACGGTGAAATAGAGAAACTCCGATAAGGGCAACTCGTGGGTACGGCGCAGCAGTTTGCCGGTCCAAAAGTGGAACAGTAGATTGCGCAGCGTCTGTATATCTGCTGCTAGGTACGAACCATACATCCCAAAAGTCTTTTGCATCTGGGACATTGTCGTAAAAATTATCACCTCTTCTTAATTCGTTAACGTCTAGCTCCTTTCTGGAAACAGAAATCAATCGAATTTTGGTAGTTTGGAATTACCTGATAAATCAAAATTTACCGTTCAGTAAAAGGACGATCATAACCCGGCATATCCTTGTGAGTGATCCACTTAGAGGGATTGTCATCGGTTGGTACCAGCAAGCCAGATGAGAAATTGAAGGGTGTAATGTAGACGTCCAATTGTACAGCTTTGCTATTTTCAGGGTCCTGAGACATCTTCAGTCCAGTAACAACGTAACCTGACTCCTGTGCGTAGACATTGTCCAGATACACGTCACGCTGTCTGTAACGAATAAAGTGATAGTCAGTGCCGTGATTCAAACTTTCTTCATCATCCCCATTTATTCTAACAAAATTTCCATCATCGAAAGAATATTTGAAGTCTTCCAATTCCTTCCAACGAAGAGAGCTCTTTTCAATCTGACCAGCACGTTGCAATTTCCCTTCCTCGATTTGCACATGGATCATCATGTCCTTCTGCTCGAACCTCACACCGGTCACTACCCTGCAATAATTATTTTATTATTTACAGTCCACGAAAAAAAACCATATAATTTTGTTACATATTGTTATCGATATCAGCGAGTTGTGGTCTTAAACTGATAGTTCGTATCGTCGTAGACTCTGATTTCTCTTCGGAGCATTCACAAAAACATGCATGACATTTCCACCAACTAGCAGTGTCAATAACTCTTGCCATAGTTCCATTAGAGCAATCGTCCTTTGGCCCTAAAGTTCCTGCCCAATCAGCCTGTATCCAACTATAACGTTTACCGTATTCCGGGGGCTGTATCATAATAAAAATCCAAACAGTGATTATTAAATAAACAGTCAGTTTAAAAAAAATGTCGATGCCTTTATTTATTTATTCCGTAGTGTCCAGAAAAGGAAATAAATAAATAATATTTTTAAAATATTTTAAAGAAGCGGTAGGACTTAAGCTTTGCTAAGGCCGGATCGAGCTGGACGTTTAAGGGATGCAAAATTTAGATCAGTAAAAATATTATCTTACCAATTCACAAAAATCGCTGGTACCGATGTTATTACAATGGTACATACGTCCGCGACAAGGTTGATTTGGATTCCAAGACTGCGCGCCATCATCGTAAGTAGCCACTTTATAATTATAGCTATCAATGTCTGGACATTGGTTATAACAACTGTCGAACATCATATATTCATGAGTGATGATTCGTGTAATGACATTTAATTCGACGTAAGTCTCCCCTGTTTTTAAAAATCACCGTTTATTAAACCTCGGGTTCTGATATCAGATTTAAACTGACTTTTGGTAAAAGATTACGTTACCTTTTATATGTTTCGGTGGATCGCACAAGAATATATCCCTTACAAGCCGCCCCAGAGCATCGTGTACAGATGTTAAGTATTCGGTGCATCTTGATATCGTCTGAGCAGTAACTCTCTCTATTTCACGATCAAAAGATGCTAAAAACATAAAAGTATCCGAGGAAAAATGTCATTGCACGACCTAGGACCAATTAGTGTGGTCATATGTGATATAAAGAACCTAAAAGAAAACTTACTGTTTTGATAAATCGCCAGTAAACCAAAAGCGTAAGTAGCCATTGTATGACCTTTTATTTCTGCTACAGTTACTGCTTCATAAAGTTCATACATTTGCTGCTGACTCGTCTTCAATAGGTTACAATGTTCCACTTCTTCTAGGCTCTTAAATATTTAGAAAAACAATTATGATCGATGATCTCATCTTAATATTATTAATGGTCTATGATCTATTATATATATTTGACGATTTAAGATCTGTGATTGCTGCTTTGAGATCTGTTTTTATTTATATATAATCTATGATCTATAGTTGATAGATTTTTATGAATGATTTATGTACACTATAAGATCTACAATCTATGATCAAAACAAAACAAAAACCACAACTTACTTGTAGAGCGGCCATCATAACTTCTATAAGACTATCTTCTGCCTGATCTCCCCGCCCGGGAAGAAACAAACTTCTAGTTTGCTTCAAAATATCTGGGACGTCTCCAAAATTGTGGGAAGTAAGAACATCACTGAACTCCTCGATGGTATACTCGTTGATCCCACCTAACTTGCTGACGTAGAACAAGTAATCTTCATACAATTCGTCGATTCTGCTAAGGTAGCCGATGAATTTCCGCATGAGATTCGTAAACTGAATCGCCCTGGGAAGATTCACTAGCACTGCATTCATAACTTTGTCCATCTTAACGTTGATCGTTTGGGTCAGTTCGTTTATCTGCTCGGATAGTTTGTTAACTGCAACCAGGGTAGGATCGACTTTCTTGTTAAACAGATTCCCTGCCGTTAAATCATGCCGGCCTGTCACAATGTCAGATATATCGGTGATCAGACCAATCATGTCTTGGATGTCAGTCAGGAAAGAAAGCCCAAATGAATCGACTTTTCCCGCAAATAAGATCAATATTGAACATACTGTAAGTAGTTTCTTCATATTTTGTACTTCTATTTTCAAGGTGAATTATCATCAATTTCAATCGGTAAAATTTTAATTATCTTTGCTTACCAGAATATGCATTTGCTGACATACCTACTTTGTTAATGTCTTATCAACAGATAAATATTAGCAAAGGACATTTTGCAAAATTTATTTGTATTTCTATAATAACAGAAATTATCCACTGACATCGTTACTGATGTTCGTAACAAAAACTATACTTTTTATCACAAAATTGCAATCGATAGCTGATAACAATTAACAGTGGCCTAGAAAAAAAATGACCGCTTGTGACTGGTTACTAAATTGTCTACGCGATAATGCAGAAAAATAATTTTCAACGTAATTTAAATTATCTAAAAGTTGAGTATTTATTTATTAAATGCAGAAAATTATATTAGTAAATGTTCAGGTTAATACAGATCTATTATTTATTCTTGTGTTAATTTATTTTATCCAATTCAGCAACGTTTCGTTACGTATCGTAACTTCCTCAGGCTGGTGGACATGCTGAGTGATGATAATATCTATAAAAAAGTGAATAAGGATCCAACGTCTATCTATCAAAAAAAGATCAATAGCTTTATTGATGGTTTGGTGGAAGAAAAACAGGTGGATGAGTTCATTGGGAAGAGTCTGAAGGCTAATAATACTGTGCCACCGAAGATCTATGGACTGAGAAAGGTCCATAAACAAGGGTGCAAATTAAGACCTGTGGTGTCTTGTATAAATTCTCCATGTTATAATTTAGCAAGGCATTTACACAAATTACTAATCCCACTCATTGATACGTTTGAGATGAATGTCAAAAATTCGTCTTCGTTGGTGAATAAGCTTAGCTCAGTAAAACTACCAACTGGCTACATTTTAGTTTCTTTGGATGTCGTATCGTTGTTTACAATGATCCCTAAGGACTTAGTGATAGAGATAATATCGGTTAAGTGGGATGAATTTAAGGAATTGCTGGTGCTACCAAAGGAAGTGATATTGAAGATGATTAGCATATGCTTTGATACTAGTTATTTCACGTTCAAAAAAGAAATCTACTTGCAGGTCGACGGTACTAGTATGGGCAACCCTGCTAGTCCATCACTAGCTAATATAGTCATGTATTATGTTTTGACGAAGATCATCAGCACACTACCTTTTGCAGTCCCGCTGTTATATTTGTATGTAGATGACACACTATTAGCGGTACCAGAGGATGAGAAGGACAATTTGTTATTTAGTGTATTTCAATAGATTCCATGCAAAAATTCAGTTCACATTGGAATGTGAAAAAGAAGGAAAAATTCCCTTCTTAGACATGGTCATAATGAGAACTAAGGATGGCAATCTATTAACAAATTGGTATCAAAAACCTACTAGTTCGGGAAGGTTACTTAATTTTCACTTACATCACCCAACATCTCAGAAGCAAAGTGTGGCATTAGGTTTGCTGTATAGAGCAATGAAATTAAGCCATAGGTCATTCCATGAGGAAAATTTAATTAAAGTTGAAAAAATACTAAAATTAAATAATTTCCCTAAATTTTTCATAAAAAAATGCATTAATAAGTTCAAGATTATGCATGCCAATGACATCATAATGGAAGACAATTGCGGAATGGGAGGTAATCGTAGAAGTAACAATAATTACGGTGGAGATAGTAGGTTTAGATTCCCGTATATTAAGGGTCTTTTGGAATCAATTACTCGATGTTTTCTGGGTGGTACTGAGTGGGAACCTGCATTCTACAATATGAAGACAGAGGGTCAAGTGTTTTCAAGACTAAAAGATAAGGATGACGAAATGAAGGTGTCCAATGTGGTGTATAAAATCCCGTGTGACTGTGGACAGTCATACATAGGCCAGACAAGTCAGTATTTGGGGAATAGGATATATCAACATAGATATAGTTGCATTAATTCTGATAAGATGAAGGATAAAACAGCTTTGTGTGTACATTATATGGACACTGGACATAAGTTTGACTTTGATAATATTAGAATACTTGACAGAGAAAGGGTAAAATTTAAACGCTGCCTAAGTGAGATAATATTCTTATCAATAAATAACACAGTTAATTTTAGAACTGACATAACAAATTTGAGCAACATCTATTCTAATTTGTTATGTAAGTTTAAAGTACACTGTAGCCAACATAGAAACAAAGTTGGTACCATCACATAATAAATTCTGACCATAATAAATCAGCTGTACATAACATACTGGAGACGCATGGGTGACTGACACTTTGACTCATATGTTGATTTCGGTTAATTTATGAATATTTTATATATTGTTTTATAATAAGAAATTGAGTCATACTAATTAAGTGATTAATAATTATTATCTATACAAATAATAATTATATAAGTATATATGTCATGTTAAATAATTGCTTTTATAAGATAAGCCGAATGGCTAACCTAGCCAAAAGTAATGCTACATTTATTATTATATTGACAGTTGTGTTAAATAATTAACTTATTTCAAGGTATAATTTTTGTAATTTATTAATTTATTAATTTATTTGGATGTAAAATTTGTTGTAAAAGATTTTAATTTTAATTTATATTATGTATGTTTGTTATTAGAAGCCTGAGGAAGTTACGATACGTAACTAAACGTTGCTGAATTGGATAAAATAAATTAACACAAGAATAAATAATAGATCTGTATTAACCTGAACCTTTACTAATATAACTTTAGTTATGTTGAAAGCTGCGAAAGGCGTCATCTATTAACAGCATGTTGAACTGACGGGACAACTATCAAATAATTTACACTTGTACAAATTTTAGGTATGAGGAAGTTGAGGCAACGAGCAGAGTTTATGTGCCCACACACGAGTGTAGAAAGTCTTATCTAATAAAGTCATACATTAACAACTACAATTAACATGATATTTCTGATAAAATTGTGATAAAAAACTAATTAATACTTTTCTTTAATAACTTCAGTACGATGAAATATTCATATTAATAATAATAATTATGATGCATACTCATGCTCATATAAATTAACATAAACTTCAAAATTGTAGATGTTGGAAGTTGCTATTCGAGTTCGGGCATGGTGCTATCCGTTATCTCATCAACACTATTTAGATACTGCTTTGCAGTTTCCGGATCCAAATCACTGTTCAGAAAATCGTGAAGGTTGGCTGTCCGCAATCTGAACCCAAGGAACCCACTCGAGTCTTCTTTTCCACGATGGAGTAAAGAAACTCCGATCAATGGAATTCGAGCAGACGGCGCAGCAGTTTGCCGGTCCAAAAGAGGAACAGTCGATTGCCCGGCGTCTGACCCTTTGTTGCTGACTGCGAACGAAATGTTCGTAAAGTCTGCAAACTCGAAATCCGGAAGATTGTCGTAATAATCATCACCTCTTCTTAATTCGGTAACATCTCGCTTCTTTCTGGAAGCAGAAATCAATGGAATTTTGTCAGATTGATGCAATCAGCCGATTAATCAAGACTCACCGATCAACAAAAGGACGATAATGATCCGGCATGTCCATGTGAGTGATCCACTTGGAGGGTTTATCATCGGTTGGTACGAGCAAGCCTGTTGAACTATTAACGGGAGTAATGTGTACATCCAATTGTATAGCCTTGCTATTTTTCGGGTCCCGAGACATCTTCAGTCCGGTGACAACGTAATCTGGCTCCTGTGAGTAGACATTATCCAGGTACACGTCACGCTGTTCTTCATGAATGAATTGATAGTCAGTGCCGTGTTCTAAATTTTCTTCATCATCACCATTTATTTTAATGAATCTTCCTTCGTCGCCTTCTGCCAGATATTTAAAGTCTTCCAATTCCTTCCACTGAATTGAGCTCTTTTCAATCTGACCGTTAGCGAGCAATTTTCCTTGCTCAATTTGCACGTGGATCATCATGTCCTTCTTCTCGAACCTTACACCGGTCACTATCCTAAAATGATCATTTTATTATTTACAATTCACAAGAAAGACCATATCATTTTTTTACATATTGTTATCGATATCAGCTAGTTGTGGTCTCAAACTGAAAGTTCGTAACGTCTTAGCTTCTGCTTTATAGTCAGAACAATGGCAGAGACATGTTTCACAATCCGCCCAGTTCTTGTAATCTTTTAATTGTCTTATAGTTCCATTGTAGCAATCGTCCATATTTCCTAGAAGCCCGCTGCTATGACCGTTCACCCAACTGTAACGTCTATCGTATTCCGGGGGCTGTACAATAATAAGAATCCAAACAGTGATTATTAAATCAACAGACATTGAATAAAACAATTCTATGTTGTCATTCATTTATAGTGCTCAAAAAGAAAATTTACTTGAATTAAAAACGCTTATGACGTTTGAAAGTGAGATGAGTAAAAATGTTTATTTACCAATTCACAAAAGCTGGCGGTACCGATACCATCACATCCGTACATACGTCCATGACAAGGTTGAGCTGGCATCCAATATAACCCTCCATAATCGTAACCTTGTTGAAGATTAGTGTGATCTATCTCATGACAAAAGATCCAACAAGTGCCCAACATAGCATCGAAAAGTAAGACTCGTGTAATGGAATTTATTTCGACGGAAGTCTCTCCTGTTTTGAAAAATCGCCGTTTATTAACCTTCGGGTTCAGATTATTAGATTTGAACTGACTCATGGTGAAATATTACGATACCTTTTATATGTTTGGGTGGATCGCATAAAAATATATCCCTTTTAAGATTCTTGAGAGCATTGTGTATACCTGATAAGTAGTCGATGCATCTTTTTATCGTCTGAGCAGTTACTCTCTCCATTTCAATATCAAAAGACGCTAAAAACAAAAAAGTATCCGTGAAAAAATGTAATTGCATGATCTGGTACCTATTGGTCAGACCTATTGGTCTGATTATATATACTATTGATGTATACAATTGAAAACAAACTTACAATTTCGATATATCGCCAGCAAACCATAAGCGTAGGATGACATTGTAAAACCTTTTATTTCTGTGATAGTTATTGTTTCATAAAGATCATATAATTTCTGCTGGCTTGTCTTCAAATGGTTACACAGCTCCTGATCTTCTACGTTCTTAAATATTTACAAAAACAATTATGTTCTATGATCTATGATTAATAATTTATGGTATGTGCTTTGAAATCCATGATTGCTTAAAAACTTGATAAAGATCATGGAGTTATTGCTGACTTATCATCAATTGATTACAACGCAATCTACGATCGCTGATTTACAATCTGTGATCTATGATCTATTATTAATATGATTGATGGTATTTATTATCTATTATATATGATTGATAATTCATAATATATTATGAATGGTCTGTCTTATATGATTGACTATCGATATTCAGATCTATAATTAATTATTTATAATGCTTACACTAAGATCTATGATCTATAATATATGGTAGATGATCTAAAAAAAAAAAAACCAAAAACGAACTTACATCCAAAGTGGCTACCATGACGTCAAGAAGACTATCTTCTTCCCGACCCGTTTGCCCAGGAAAGAACAAGTAGTAGGTTTGCCTTAAAATATCTGGAACGTCGCCAAATCTGTGAGAAGTGACAACTTTACTGAACCCCTCGAAAGTATGACGGTTGACGTCACCGAACTCGCTGACGTAGAACAAGTAATCTTCGTACAATTCGTCAACTCTTGAAATGAAGTCGAGGAGTTTCTGCATGAGATTCTTTAACTGAATCGCCCTAGGAGTATCTTCTAACACCGCAGTCATCAGTTTGTCTATCTTTACGTTGAACGACTGAGTCAATTCGCCTATCTGCTCAGATAGTTGGGTAACTTTAGTCAACGAAGCGTCAGTTTTCTTCTTAAACAGATTCCCTGCCGTTAAATCATGCCGGCCCGTCGCAAGATCAGATATATCGGTGACCAAACTTATCAGGCTTTGAGCGTCAGACAAAAAAGGAATCGATAATGAATCGACTTTTGCCGTAAATAAGATCCATATTGAACATATTGTAAGTAGTTTCTTCATATTTTGTACTTCTGTTTTAAAGGTGAATTATCGTCAGCTTCAGTCATTTAAACTTTAATTATTTTTGCTTACCAAAATATGCATTTACTGATACCTACTTTGTTAATGTCTTATCAATAGATAAATATTAGCGAAGGACATTTTGCAAAATTTATTTGTATTCCTATAATAACAGCAATTATCCACTAACATCGTTACTGATGTTCGTAACAAAAACTATACTTTTTATCATAAAATTGCAGTCGATAGCTGATACTAATTAACAGTGGCCTAGAAAGAAAATGGCCGCTTTTAAATGGTTATTAAATTGTCTACGCGATAATGCAAAAAAATAATTTTCAACATAATTTAAATTATCTAAAAGTTAAATATTTATTTGTTTACAATCAACAAATTAAAATACAGGCGCAATAAAATATTAAAAAAAATCGTTTTGATAATTTTTTTTACAATATTAAGACTAAAATTGTTGGAACCTTGGCGCTTTTACCTTAATTATATTTAAATGAGAAAGAAAATAATTATTTAACAATAAGTATCCAATCAATCTGTATATTTAATATTATCATATAAATTTAATTGCGCTCAAAATTTAATAAAAAATAAATAATCTACTCAAGTTCGACGAAATTATTCATTGTTTTGTCTTCGCGTTTATTTTTGAAGAGCTCAACATTTTCTGGCGTCATAATGGGATTCAAGTATCTGGAAATGTCATAGGTAAGCAAGTTGAAGGCAAAGAACCCGCCTGAATCTCCATCATTGATGCGAAGATAGAGGGAGACACCGGTAAGTGGAACTCGTGGATAGGGCGCCACCAGTTGCCGATCAAAGAATGGAACAGTGTTATGTCCAATTTCTTCATACCCGTAAGTGTGCTGGAACCACGTTACTGCAAAGTCATGTTCAGTCGGAAGATTGTCGTAGAATTTGAAGGGGCTAAATTTGGCAGTTTTTGAATCTACCCATTCGCTACATTTGTATGAAAAATAAATTAATACGAAAAAATGACTTTCTAATTGACGAAAATTGAAAAACTTACCGCTCATCGTAAGCCTTGTCGTGATCAGGCATATCTTGGTAACTAATCCACTTGGAAGGCTTATCATCAGTTGGAGTCAGCAAGCCTGAATTGAAATCAAAGGGTGTAACGTGTACGTCCAATTGTATGGATCTTGAAATTTCCGGATCGACAGACATTTTCAATCCGGTGACCACGTAATCTGGTTCTTGCACATAGATAATGTCCAGGTTGACATCACGATATTTGTAACGTATGAACGCGTAATCTATACTTTCCTCTAACGTTTACAGTTACTCGTTACAGTCGAGTCGCCATCTTGCATAGTGAACCCGCCGCCAGAAACGTCAGTTAAGTATGTGAAATTTCCCAATTCTACTAAATGAATTGAGTTCTTTTCGATCTGACCGGCAGGGAGCAATTTTCCTTGCTCGATTTGAACGTGGATTATCTTGTCCTTCAGCTCGAATCTTACGCCAGTCACTATCCTAAAATTATATCGTACAAACATATGTCATGCATGTGTGAACATTAATCATAGATCATAGATCATCATTCATGGGTGATAAAGTAGAGAATATTAAACATGAATCATTAATTATAGATCATAGATCATAAATCATAGATCATAGATCATAGATCATGAATCAAGATCATGGATCGTAGATCATGCATCGTAGATCATAGATCATGGGTTGTAGATTATAGATCATCAATCATCAATCATGGATAATAAAGTATAGATTATTAAAAATGAATCGTTGATGTTACATTATAACTCATGAATCATCAATTTTAGATCATAGATCATAGATCATAAATCATAAATCATTAATCAAGATTATGAATCGTAGATCATAGATCATCAATCTGGGGTAATAAAGTATAGATTATTAAAGATGAATCGTTGATCTTACATTATAACTCATAAATCATCAATTATAGATCATAGATTATAGATCATGGATCAGAGATCATAGATCATGATTGCTTATTGGTTAAAATGAAGGCGCGCGCATAGCGCGCTATTCAAATTTTTAGTCATTATAAATAAATCATAAAGCACGATAAATGGAACATAGACCATGATAAACGGATCATAGATTATAGATCATGACATCATGGACCTGACATATGTGGCTATATATATAATATATTGAAAAAGTTTACATATTGTCGATATCGGCCATTTGGGGTCTCAAACTAACAGTTCGGTCTTCTTTTGCAGCTCCATTTTCTGCTGAGCATTGACACCAACATACTGAACATCTGTACCAGTTAGTACTATAATCGATCAACTGTATAAAGGTTCCATTGTAGCAACTATCTTTCTCTCCGAATATGCCTAATCCGTCACTATGTACCCAAGAGTAACGTTCTTCTTTGTCCGCAGACTAGGAAATTTAATAAAAAAATGTAATTTTGATATGAAATATTTAGTAAGTAGATAAATTTACCAATTCACAAATGTCAGTATCGTCTATGTTGGCACAATTGTACATGAGCCCTTCACAAGGTGAAGCTGGTTTCCAGTCTAGTGATTTGGAGTTTCCTCGATATTTGAAGTCTCGCTGATAAATTCTAGTTTCCAGATCAGGACAAGACGTAGAACACTGATCAGTATCGGACACCATACTTTCGAAAACTATTACAGTTTGAATCGCGTTTATTTGGACATAGGTTTCACCTGATAATTATAACAAACGCCAGTTATTTTCTTCAAATAAATATTGCTAAAAGACTTAAAATGATTATTGATACCGGACCTTTAATATGTTCCGGTGGATCGCAGAGAAATATATCCCTTGGAAGACCCCGGATAGCTTTAGTAACAGATTCCAAGTACTGGCTGCATCTTACAATGGTCTGAGTTAGAACTTTGTCCATTTCACTGGTAAAAGATACTAAAACGAGTATATTATTTAATAAACTCAATCACTATTGATTGGTGAATTATCGGTACTTACTGTTCTGATATATGCTTAGCAAACCATACGAGTAGCTAGTCATTATGAACCCTTTTATCTCTGTAATAATCACTGTCTCGTACAGATCATAGACCTGTTGCTAAGTTGACTTCAACTTATTACACCGTTCTTCTATTTCTACGTTCTAAATCATTATTTTAGAAAAAAAAATATCACCCATTATTTGTCATTCATAGCAATTTGTGATCTTCAATCTATGATCTATGACTTACAATCAATGATTTATGATTTACCATATGTGACCTATGAACCATGATCTATGATCTATGATTAATGATTACTGATTGATGATCTATTACCTAATTAGAATAAAAACTTACCGTCAAACTGGCTACCATGACATCAAGAAGACTCTCGTCTCTTTGATCCAGTTGCCCAGGAACGTACAAATGGTAAATTTGCCTCAAAATATCCCGAACACCTCCAAATTTGTGCGACGTAGTAACTCTAGCAAAGTCCTCCATAGTATACCAGGTGAAATTACTATCCTGGTTGACGTAGTCCTGATAGTCTTCAAACAGTTCGTCAATTCTGGTAACGTACTCAATGAGTTTTCTCATGAGATTCGCGAACTGAATTGACTTGGGAACGTTGGTCAATACCGCGTTCATCAGTTTGTCAACCTTCACATTCAAGTTCTGGCTCAGTTCGCTTATCTGTTCGGATAGTTGGTTAACTGCAGTCAACGTAGCGTCAGTTTTCTTCTTAAAGAGATTTCCTGCAGTCAAGTCATGGCGGCCAGTTACCAAATCTGACATGTCGGTGGCCAAACTTATCATATCCTGGATGTTAGATAGAAACGGGATTGAAAGTGGATCAACCCGTGTTACCAAATGGATCCATATTGAACAAATAATGAATAATTTAACCATTATTGCGATTTCGATCTACTCGCCACTATAAGTTATTTTTTGTCGTAAGTATATATTTTTTTACTTTATATTTATTTTTTCTAATAGTATCGTCACAAGCCAACTTGCGATTATTATAATCATCAGCAGCTCTAGATATGGAATATGTATCGGATGTACATAACCAGTTTGTTTTTTATGACTTATCATTCGTGTTTTTTCAACAAACGGCAATTATAATAATTGCAGTGGAAATTACTAGTAGAATACTCCAATTAGGACTTACAGTTAATATCGTTTATCTTATCGAAGGTTACAACAACTATCAATAACAAAATATATTTTACTGTGTTTAACTAGCATTATTGATTCTACAAATTTACAATGTATAAATTAAATTTGTTAAATAGCAAAATTTAACATATTCACCTGTAATTTTGATATAAATTTATTACTTGAGGATCTAAACGTATTAAATGTCTTTATTTGGACATATTAAGCCACATTGAGCCAAATAAGTCCATGAGCTATCGGACTGATAGAAGGATTTGTTTATATTTAATAAGCTTTTTTAACTGTTCATAAATATTTATTAATGGCTAATGAATATTTGTTAACTGTTAACAAATATTTATTAGAAATAAAAAGCAAAAATAGCAATTTTCTTTTGACACTTTTTATAACCCTATAACTGGAATACATGATAATAATTCAATTCACTAAATAAATTAACCTTTTTAATATTTATAAATATAAAAGATAATTATGAGCTGTGATAGAATTTGGTATTTTGCAATAAACGTTATTATAATGTAATATAATTAATGCAAATAATTTATAAAGATGATTTTTATTTATAAGCAATCTTCATATCATATGACATTGCAAGCGAAACGAATTCACTCAACAAAATATTTATTAACTATTAATAAATGTACTTTAAAAACTATTTATTAAAATTAAATAATTGTCTTCAAATAAATTAAATTATTAATAGTTAATAAATCCTTTCATCAGTGCGCTAAAAGGCGTGTAAAAAACAAAAAATTTTTTTTTTATTCAACCTTGTGTTTTTTATTTTATCAATCTTCGGAATAATATATCTATTAAAGAAATCATGATTCGGACAAAATATCATTGAAATTTACTCGGCTTCCTCTGGTGGATGGTTGAGCGCTTGGTTCTCATAAGTCTTTGAGTAGTACTCAAGATCTTGCTCGGACATTTGGAGGTTCAAGTAATTTGGAATATCCAGAGTAGTTACCCTGAACCCGAGGAACCCACCGGAGTCTTCTTTTGTGAGATGCAATAGGGAGACGCCCTCTAGCGGGACCCGCGCGCGCGGCGCCAACAATCGTGTGTCCAAAAATGGAACGGTGTATCTACCAAGATCTTCAGATCCAGCCGAGGCTCCAAACGATACCACAGCAAAGTCTTCCGATGATGGTACATTGTCATGGTAGACTGTCGGCATGCTTTTTTCTGCAGCTTGAATTTTAGTTCTGGAAGAAAATGAAATTAGACAAAATTTAAGAACATCCAATGAAAATTTTGCGGAAAATTTACCGGTCTTCGAATTTCCGGTCTTTTTTGGACATGTCTTTGTAAGTTATCCACTTAGAGGGTTTGTCGTCAGTCGGAGTGAACATTCCTGAATGGAAATCATACGGCGTGATGTTCACCTCCAAATGCAGTGACTCTTGAGTGTCAGGATCTAGAGATAACTTCACTCCAGTTACGACATACCCTTGTTCTTGGGAATAAATTCTGTCCAGGTTGACTTTACGGTATTTGGTTGATATGAAAATAAAGTCATCACCTTCCGTCATTTTTATCGGCTTCTTAGGATCGTCAGAGTTTTCCATTTCGACTGACCCATTACCGACATTTATATAGTTTAAATTTTCAAGCTCCTTCATGTGAGTGGAGTCTTTTTCAATCTGACCACCTGGTAGCAGTTTTCCTTGCTCGATTTGAAGATGGTATATGGACCCCTTTTCCGCGAATTTTACACCGGTGACTATCCTGAAATTTTCAAGTCATATTATATCATAAATAATCAACAATATACACTGATAGAAGAATTTTGTACGGAGTACTAAACTGATTTAGTGAAAAAATTTTTAGTCTTTTAGAAATGACATAGATTTTCATTTATCAGAATATCTCTACGATAAAATATAAAACAATTAAAATACTTCTACGTATATAATACGTACATATTTTTGTCAATATCAGCCATTTGGGTTCTCAAACTGATGGTTTTAGTTCCTTCCGAACGACCGGAACATTCACAAAAACATGTTGAGCATTCGTTACCATTGTTTCTTAAAGTTTGCAAAGTCACAGTTTTTCCATTGAGACACTGGTCTTTTGTTCCAAAATTCTTCTGCGAACTGCTCTCTATCCATGAATAAAGGATTGGCGAAGGTGCATACTACCAAAAGAATCCATCCATGGTTATATAAAATGGATTACTTATGATCCATATATAATTAATTGGGGTGATTTTTCATGTAACATAATTATATTTTTTCCTGATACAGGGATTTTTTTTATTGGGCATTCTGTACTACAATTATCAGTTATCTTTAATCACAAATAAAATTTATCTATACTTAACGTTGAATTTATAATTAAACTTACGAATTCACAGAATGTTACTTGACCGAGATCCATACAGTTGGACATGTAACCCCGACATTGCTGACGTGGAAACCAAATATCTTTATTTGTTGTGTAGAATCGGTAATAAGTGGAGGTGTCAAGGGTCTCACAACTGTAACCACAATTTACCCACGGGGTCATCATATATTCGTGAATTATAACTCGAGAAAATGTATCCAAGGTGGAATATGTTTCACCCTCAACATGTTCCGGTGGATCACAATTGAAAAAGTCTCTGGAAATGCCCACCAGCGCTTGACCGATGGATGATAAGTATTGGCTGCATCTTATTACGAGCTGATTTCGCATTTTAATAACTTCACTTTTGAAAGTTGCTACAATAATTGGATTAGTTATTTGAGCACTTGTCTAGTGATAATACGATAATATGAAAAAAACTTACAATTTCGATAAATCGAAAGCAAACCATACGAGTAACCAGCCATTGTAAAGCCCTTTATTTCCGTCAAAACTACTGTTTCGTACAGATCATAGAGTTGTTGTTGAGATGACTTTACCATACCGCACTTTTCACTTTCTGGTGTACCCTGAATCATTAAAAAAAAGAAATTACTATCTGCGATTGATAATTTTTTATCAGTAATTTATTATTTATAATCTATGATCTATGATCTATGATTTATAATTTATAATCTATGGTTTACAGTTAAATTATCTATGTTTCATGATTTATGGTCTATGATCTATGATCTATAATTTATGGTTTACAATTCAATGATCTATGGCATATGATTTATAACCAATGATTTATATTTTATATTCTCGGTTTAGGATCTGTCTTTTATGATCTATAATATAGGATCTGTGATCTATGATTTATGATTAATTAGAACCTAAAAGTTACCTTCAAAGTGGCTACCATGACATCAAGAAGACTCTCATCTCTCTGATCTAAATGTCCAGGAATAAATAGATGATAGATTTGCCTCAAAATATCTTCAAGATCTCCAAATCTGTGAGAAGTCATGACCCTACTGAAGTCCTCAATAGTGTATGGATTGATTGAATCTTCCTCATGAATATAGTACTGGTAGTCTTCGTACAATTCATCGATCCTGGTAATATACTCAATAAGTTTTCTCATGAGATTTGCGAACTTCATCGCCCTAGGAACGTTGGTCAGCACCGCGGTCATCAGTTTGTCCATCCTAACGTTCATGATCTTCGTTAGTTCGTCGATTTTCTCTGACAATTCCGTTACTTTCTCGAGTGTCGGATCAACTTTTTTCTTAAACAGCTTTCCCGCAGTCAAATCATGTCGGCCCATTACCAGGTCTGATAGATCAGTGGCCATGCTGATCACACTTTGGATATTAGTGAAAACAGAAAATAGAAAAGGTTGGACCCCATTTGCCAATAAAAGTATTGACAATAACAGAACTAGCTTCGCCATGATTCTGACGACTTATTAGTTACTCGACGAATTTCGTTGCATTTATACTTACCACTCGAACAAGTAAAATATTAAAAAGCATTCATATTTTTGCTCTTATCGCTAATAATTGTTAATAATTAAAGTTACGGAAACATACTTGTTTGTTACGTACCTTGCTTTTTAATTACTCTGCTCGCTGATATGACAATAATTTGATAATTTTTTGAAATACCTCGAAATGTTTCCCATAATGACTTGAGGAAAAAATTTTTAATTATTTGAAATTATGAAAATAACGAATCGATAAACACTACATTTTATTGTTATCAATTTAAGAGTTTGTTAACAATTTATGAGTTTTCTCATGAGATTCGCGAACTGAATTGACCTGGGAACGTTGGTCATTACCGCGGTCATCAGTTTGTCAACTTTCACGTTCAGGGTCTTCGTCAACTCGTTTATCTGTTCGGATAGTTTGTTAACAGCATTCAACGCAGCGTCAGTTTTTTTCTTAAAGAGATTTACTGCAGTCAATCATGTCGGCCAGTTACCAGATCTGACATATCGGCAGCCAAGCCTATCATATCCTGGATGTCAGTTATAAATGGTATGGAAACGAGATCAACTCTTGTCACCCAATAAATCCGTATTGAACAAATGATATAGTATATTACACTACAAGGGCAGAAAGTTTGAGATTCCTGCACTGCGCGCCATATGCCCGAGGCGAAGCCGAGGGCATCATGGCACGCAGTTCAGGGCTCTCAAATTTCTGCCCATGTAGTGTATACTAGTTTTCTTACTATGCGGTCGAAAGTACGTTAAAAATTGCGTTGAAAAAAATTGATGCCTGCCCCCGACATTTGCGGCACGAGCGAAGCGAGTGCTGCTGGTCGGGGAGGCAGGCATCAAATACACCTGTCAATAAAGATATTAATATATAATCTATCATATTACTACTTTCTTTTAAGAATAAGAAAAATAATTTAACCATTATGGCGATCTCAATATACTCACCATAGTAGTATTTTTATAGAAATTTATTTCGTGCGGATCTAAACGTATTTAACTCATTTATTTGGACATATTAAACCACATTGAGCCAAGTAGGTCCATGAGTATTTGTTTAAGAACGTATACAAGAAAAAAAAATTTATTTTTATTTAACCTTGTGTTTTTTATTTTATCAATCCCTGGAATTGAATATACATTAAATAAATCATGATTTGAACAATATATCATTGAAATTTACTCGACTTCCTCTGGTGGATGGTTGAGCGCTTTACTTTCGTAAGTACTCGAGTAATACTCAAGATCTTGCTCGGACATTTGAGGGTTCGAGTAATTTGGAATATCCAGAGTAGTGACCCTGAACCCGAGGAACCCACCGGAGCCTTCTTTTGCGAGATGCATCAGGGAAATGCCCTCTAGTAGGATTCGCGAGCGCGGCGCCATCAATCGTCTGTCCAAAAATGGAACGGTGTGTACACCAAGATCTTCCAATATGTGCGAGGCGCCAAATGTTAGCACAGCAAAGTCTTCCGATGATGGTACATTGTCATAGTAGTTTATCGGTATGTTTTTTTCTGCACCTTCAATTTTAGTTCTGGAAGAAAACAACATTAGAAAAAATTTGAGAGACAATGAAAATTTTTGGAAAATTTACCGGTATTTGAATTTCCGTTTTTCTTTAGACATGTCGTTGTAAGTTATCCACTTAGAGGGTTTGTCTTCAGTCGGAGTGAGCATTCCTGAATCGAAATCAAACGGCGTGATGTTCACCTCCAAATGCAGTGACTCTTGAGTGTCAGGATCTAGAGATAACTTCACTCCAGTTACGACATACCCTGGTTCTTGGGAATAAATTCTGTCCAGGTTGACTTTAGGGTATTTGCTTGATATGAAAATAAAGTCATCACCTTCCGTCATTTTTATCGGCTTCTTAGGATCATCAGGGTTTTTCATTTCGACTCACCCTTTACCGACTTTCATATAGTTTAAATTTTCAAGCTCCTTCATGTGGATGGAGCTTCTGTCAATTCGACCACCTGGTAACAGTTTTCCTTGCTCAATTTGAACATGAAATATCATTTGCTTTTCCTCGAATTTTAAACCGGTGACTATCCTGGAATTTTAAAGTCATAGACAGTGAATAAAAAATTCTTTAATTAAGACGGAATTTTCAAAATTATTTACTTGATTCAAGTTAATTTTTATTTCTGTCTATTATATTATAAACCAGAAATTTTCAATAGCGCGCTTTCTAATTAAATTTTTTTATGTAATTATTTAATATTGCGATACGTTCACGTTCTAAGGCTAGACCAATAATAAATCAGGGTCCATTTTTTTCGGTTATCGACTAATGACTCAAGAGTCCATGTATTTTTTTGTGGAGGATAACAATATACAATGTCAATGTTAATAGTTTAAAAAATTGACAAAACTATCGGTATTAAAAAAAAAATATTTTATGGAGCGATAAAATATTTTTATAAGTTATTGAATGCTATTTTAGCAAATTATTATAAATAAAATTTACAAGCTCAATTTTTAATTGTTTAAGTTATCTGACTATTATCTTAATGATGTTTTGCATATTTTATGACACCTCTTTAAAATTGTATTACCAGAATATATTTACGATAAAATATAATAAAAATAGAATACTTTTACGTATTTAATACGTACATATTTTTGTCAATATCAGCCATTTGGAATCTCAGACGGATAGTTTTAATTCCCGTTTTAAGATCGGAACACTCACAGAAACATGTTGAGCATTCGTTACCATCGCTTTTTGAAACATCTATAGTCACATCTTTTCCATTGAGACATTGGTCTTTTGTTCCAAAAGTCTTCTGCCAATTACTGCTCTCTATCCATGAATAACGAATTGGCGAATCTTCATCCTACCAAAAAAATCCATCCATGGTCATATAAAATGATTACATATTTAATATTGAATTTATAATTAAACTTACCAGTTCACAGAATCTTGCTTTACCTAGATTAACACAATTGGCCATGTAACCCTCACATTGCTGTTGTGGAAACCAAGTTCCGAATGATGTGAAGGGGTATCGGTAATAAGTGGAGGTGTTAAGGACCTGACAACTGTAACTACAATCTTTCCTCGGGGTCATCATAGATTCGTGAATTATAACTCGAGAAAATGAATCCAAGGTAGAATACGTTTCACTCTCCACATGCTCCGGTAGATCACAATTGAAAAACTCTCTGGAAAGACCCACCAGCGCTTGATAGATGGATGACAAGTATTGGCTGCATCGTATTACAAGCTGATTTCGTAATTTGTAAATTTCACTTTCCATAGTTGCTATAATAATTAGATTAGTGGTTTGAGTAATTGTCTAGTGAGAGTACGATAATATGAAAGAAAGTTACAATTCCGATAAATCCTCAGCAAACCATACGCGTAAGTAGCCATTGTAAAGCCCTTTATTTCCGTTAGAACGACTGTTTCGTACAGATCATAGAATTGTTGTTGAGGTGACTTAGACGTACCACACTGTTCAACTTCTGATGTATCCTGAATTATTCAAAAAAATAAATTATCATCTACGATCAATAATTTTTTGTTTTTAATTCATTATTTATGATCTATGATCTATGATTTATGATTTATGATCTACGATTCATGATTAATCAGAGCCTTAAAATTACCTTTAAAGTGGCTACCATGACATCAAGAAGACTTTCATCTCTCTGATCTAATTGTCCATCAGGAATAAATAAATGATATATTTGCCTCAAAATATCTTGAAGATCTCCAAATCTATGAGATGTCATGACCCTACTGAAGTCCTCAATAGTGTATTGATCGAATAAACTTTTCTGATAAACATAGTACTGGTAGTCTTCGTATAATTCATCAACTCTAGTAATATACTCAATAAGTTTTCTCATAAGATTCGCGAACTTCATCGCCCTAGGAACGTTGGTCAGCACCGCGGTCATCAGTTTGTCCATCCTAACGTTCATGGTCTTCGTCAGCTCGTCGACTTTCTCTGACAGTTCCGTTACTTTCTCGAGTGTCAGATCAACTTTTTTCTTGAACAATTTTCCCGAAGTCAAATCATGTCGGCCAGTTACCAGGTCCGATAGATCAGTGGCCATGCTGATCACACTTTGGATACTAGTTAAAAAGGTAAATATAAAAGGTTGGACCCCATTTGCCAATAAAAGTTTTGCAAATAACAGTACTAGCTTCGCCATGATTCTAAAACCTTATTTGTTGCCCGATGAATTTTAGTCTTTTTATATCCACCTTTTGATAACGTAAAATATTATAAAGTATACGTATTGTTACTTTTATCGCAATGATGTGGTAGCGATTAAAGCTACGAAGCATACTTGTTTGTTAAGTTCCTTGCTTTTTAATTACTCTACTCGCTGATATTACAATAATTGGATAATTTTCTTTACTTACCTTGAAATTTTTTCCATTACAGCTTGAGGATATATTTTAAATTATTTAAAATTATGAAAATGATAAATCGATAAACACTACATTTTATTTTTATCAATTTATATTATAAAGAAATTATGATTTGGACAAAATATCATTGAAATTTACTCGGCTTCCTCTGGTGGATGGTTGAGCGCTTCGCTCTCATAAGTATTTGAGTAGTACTCAAGATCTTGCTCGGACATTTGGGAGTTCAAGTAATTTGGAATATCCAGAGTAGTTACCCTGAACCCGAGGAACCCGGCGGAGTCTTCTCTTACAAGATGCAATAGGGAGATGCCTTCTAGCGGGATCCGCGGGCGCGGCGCCAACAATCGTCTGTCCAAAAATGGAACGGTGTGTGCACCAAGATCTTCATATACATTCGAGGCGCCAAACTTTAGCACAGTAAAGTCTTCCGATGATGGTACATTGTCATAGTAATTTGTCGGTATGTTTTTATCAGCACCTTCAATTTTAGTTCTGGAAGAAAACAACATTAGAAAAAATTTTAAAACCAATGAAAATTTTTGGAAAATTCACCGGTCTTTGTACTTCCGGTCTTTTTTAGACATGTCTTTGTAATTTATCCACTTAGAGGGCTTGTCATCAGTCGGAGTGAGCATTCCTGAATCAAAATCAAACGGCGTGATGTTTACCTCCAAATACAGTGACTCTTGCTCGTCTGGATCTAGAGATAACTTCACTCCAGTTACGATATACCCTGGTTCTTGGGAATAAACTCTGTCCAGGTTGACTCTGCGGTATCTGCTTGATATAAAAATATAGTCATTACCTTCTATCATTTCTATTGGCTCCTCGGGATCATCAGGGTTTTCCTTTTCAACAAATCCACCATAGTTAGTTGTATAGTATATATTTTCAAGCTCCTTCATACGGAGAGAGCTTCTGTCAATCCGACCACCTGGTTGCAATTTTCCTTGCTCGATTTGAACATGGAATATCATTTCCTTTTCCTCAAATTTTATACCGGTAACTATCCTGGGATTTTAAAGTCATAAACAGAAAATAAAATTAACTTGTTAATTTACCATAAGCTACCATAAGAATACGTTAACCTACTGGAACTTTTTACAACTAACTAACTACTATAGAGTTCCTATAGAAAAATTTTTTTCTCCGTGTGTTTAAATTATCTGACTATTATCTTAATGATGTTTTGCATATTTTACGACACCTCTTCAAAATTGTACTACCAGAATATATTTACGATAAAATATAATACTTTTACGTATTTAATACGTACATATTTTTGTCAATATCAGCCATTTGGGATCTCATACTGATAGTTTTAATTCCGTGTAGATGACCGGAACACTCACAGAAACATGTTGAGCATTCGTAACCACTGTTTCTTAAAATATCCAGAGTCTTATTTCTTCCATCGAGACATTGGTCTTTAGTACCATAAGGCTTCTGCAAACTGCTCTCTACCCACGAATAACGGGTTGGAGCATAATCACCCTACCAAAAAAATCCATGCATGGTCATATAAACTGATTACATATTTAATGTTGAATCTATAATTAAGCTTACCAGTTCACAGAATGTTGCTTTACCGAGATTAATACAGTTGGCCATGTAACCCTCACATTTTTGACGTGGATACCAAAATTTGTCACCTGCTGAATATTGTCGCGCATAATAAAAGGTTTCGAGGGTCTCACAAGTGTAAGGACAATAATCCTCCCGGGTCATCATATATTCGTGAACTATTACTCGAAAAAATGAACCTAAGGAGGAATACGTTTCACCCTCCACATGTCTCGGTGGATCACAATTGAAAAATTCTCTAGAAAGACCCACCAGCGCTTGATCGATGGATAATAAATATTGGCTGCATCTTATTACAAGCTGATCTCGCAATTTGTGAACTTCACTTTCGAAAGTTGCTACAATAATTAGATCAGTGGTTTGAGCACTTGTATAGTGATAATACAATAATATGATAGAAACTTACAATTTTCATAAATCGTAAGCAAACCATACGCGTAACCAGCCATTGTAAAGCCCTTTATTTCCGTCAGAACAACTGTTTCGTACAGATCATAGAGTTGTTGTTGAGATGACTTTGCCATACCGCACTGTTCAGCTTCAGGTGTATCCTTAATTATTCAAAAAAAGGAATTATCATCTACGATCGATAATTTTTTATCTGTAATTATGATCTGTGATCTATGATCTACGATTTATGATCCATGATCTAAGATTTATGATATATAATCTATGATTTATGATCTATGATCTATAATTTATAATCTATGATCTATGTTTTATGATTTTTAATCTTGGTTTATAATTTATGATGTATGATCTAAGATTTATGATAAATCATAACCCAACAATTACCTTTAAAGTAGCTACCATGACATTAAGAAGACTCTCATCTCTCTGATCTAATTGTCCAGGAATAAATAGATGATAAATTTGCCTCAAAATATCTTGAAGATCTCCAAATCTATGAGAAGTCATGACCCTACTGAAATCCTCAACAGTGTATCGATTGAATTTACTTTTCTTATGAACATAATACTGGTAGTCTTCGTACAATTCATCGATTCTAGTAATATAATCAATAAGTTTTCTCATGAGATTCGCGAACTTCATTGCCCTAGGAACGTTAGTCAGCACCGCGGTCATCAGTTTGTCCATTCTAATGTTTATGGTCTTTGTCAGCTCATCGACTTTCTCTGACAGTTGCGTTACTTTTTCGAGTGTCGGATCAACTTTTTTCTTGAACAAATTTCCCGAAGTCAAGTCATGTCGGCCAGTTATCAGGTCTGACAGATCAGTGGCCATACTGATCACATTTTGGATGTTACATAAAAAAGAGAATATAAAGGGTTGGACCCCATTTACCAATAAAAGTATTGTTAATAACAGAACTAGCTTCGTCATGATTCTGACGACTTATTATTTGCTCGACAAATTGTTGTTGTATTTATATTTTACTATTCGATCACGTAAAATATTACAATGTATATCTGTATATATGTATAGTTGCTCTTATCGCTGATAATTGTTAATAATTAAAGATACAAAGCATACTTGTTTGTGGCGTACCTTACTTTTTAATTACTTTGCTCGCTGATATGATAACAATTTGATAATTTTCTTGAAGTACCTTGAAATATTTTCCATAATTACTTGAGGAAAAAATTTTCAATTATATGAAATTATGAAAATATCAACTCGATAATTTTAAAATTAACGCATAAGTTTTTTCATGAATGAAACTGCTATTTGAGTGCGACAAATTTATTTGTCTTCACTCCTACACTACTACCAAATTCTACAATTTGGTTACCAGAACGAAATTTTTTTTTTCCGTGCATAGCTCCTAAATTATTAATTGAACAAAAATATATTATTGTTTTTTTTTTTGTATTATTACGAACGATTGAACTCGTCAAAAGTCAACATGATAACAAAAAGTACAAGCCCATTAATTATCATCGAGGTAATGCGATCAAGAAGTTACCCAAGATTCCTATTTCCTAAATCTTTTTATAACGAGAAAAGATCGTGGAAAAAAGCGATCCCTCGACTCGACTGAGGCACGCAATGGAATATCGGAAAACAAAGAGAGACCGTAAAATGATGAGTTTTTGCGGGTCTGAGATTGTGCGGCGAGAAAAGGACACCGTAGAAGTATTTTAGTATTTGAGAACCCGAGTACACAACGTGATAATTCTTAGTAGCCTACGGCCCCAGGAGGATCCATCTTGCTTCCAAGTTTCCCAGAAACTAATATTTATTAATGCCCGGTAATTAGCGCAGAATCTCTCTGAGTGGAGACTGCTGCAGGAAGTTAGCTGCTCTTACAGCTTTGCCCCTATTTATTACTTCAACAGTTCTTCTTGCTGTTATATGTGTATTATATCTCTTTCTCGGCTTCTGCTTCTGCTTCTGGTTCTTTAACTCCGGCTTTGCCTCCCTCAGGTACTTACACATCTTCCAGAGGTAAATATTAAAAGCATTAACACAATATATGCTTTCATCTCCTCTTAATTATTAATTCCTAAGATATACTTCAACAGTTTAACTGTTTTCAAAGTTTTATATCTCGGAAACTATTGTTTGGACGTACATCATTACAAAAATGAAGTTGTAGCTTAAGATCCAAGCTTTCAAATAAAATTTTGATCAATTTTTTAACTCACTTGGTTTAAAAGTTATCAGCTTTTAAAGATTAATAATGAGTTTCCAAAAATTCATCTTTTTAGACTAAGATAGTATATTAGTAACTTTTTAAAATTCTGCAACTCGGAAACTATCAGTTGTACATAGGTAATTACAAAAGTGAAATTGTAGCTTATGATCTAAGCTTTATAATAAAATTTGGATCAATTTTTTATCTCGATTCGTTCAAAAGTTATGAGCTTCTAAAGATTAATAAGAATAATTAATTTCCAAAAATACATAATTAAGGACTAAGTTAGTCATTTTTTAAAATTCTGTCTGTATTTCGGAAACTATCAACTTGACATACATCATTACAAAAATGAAATTGTAGCTTAAGATCTGAACTTTCTAATAAAATTTGGATCAAATTTTTATCTCGATTCGTTCAAAAGTTATAAATTTTTAAAGATTAATGTTTCAAAAATTTCAAACAACAATCCGAATTATCATTTTTGAAATTTTTTTTTTAAATTATTATTATTATAATTTTATGACTATAAACTACAATACATAATAATACTCATCAATTTAAATCACGTACTTGTATTTGTCCTTTTTATTCCCTCAACAACCCCCGAATTTACTGGCGAGCGTAAGTTAGATTTTTTTTTTGGAATTTATTTATTGCCCCGTCGGTATAATGCGCCCCATTGATACTTAGTTTTTATTTCCCTTCACTGGTGTACTATACTTCAATATTTTAACTTTTATTTCCATGGGAGAGATGGAGGGTTGAGGACTATAAGGTTGAGGGCGATTGTCATTGTGAATGCATTAGACCTAGACAGATAAATACAATGAGGGAAAGATGTGCAGCAAGCCGCAGAAATATCAGAGTATCGAGGATCTTTAGAGTTTGTTACACTCTTTAGAACTTAATCATTTTATTATTATTGCTATGAGGGGCGGAGGGGAGAGCAGTAGTCGGTAGTCGGTAGTCGGTATTGAATGGTATGTTTTTGGCTGAAGCTAAGCAATAAAGAGTCTTCGTCTGGTGGAACTTATTCACACGGCAAAGAAAGTAACTTGGCGTCCCTTCCTGTCTAGCCGTTTGAGTTTTATTCCCCAAGAGGAGAGAGTTTTACCCGACGTTGAATCAACCATTACACATTTGATTACTGAGCATCGGTTATTACTTGAGATCATGGAGGAATTATTTTTTATATCATATCCTGAAGTTTTTTTTTAAGCTTTTGGGAAAAATAAATAAGTAATTGTAAGAGAATTTTAATTTTAAACACGTGCTTTATGATTTTTTTGAAATTTTGGCTAAAATTTCAAAAATATGATAAAATTGAGTGGCAACCGTACAGTCACTACGTGACTGCCATAACGTAAACTATAGATAAAAAAAATTTTTATTAAATAATGACTTTTGTTAAATTGCACTGTACTTTCTTAAATATTGACGTTTTTAAAGATATAAGCTCATCCCGATGTTACACTCTTCAAGAGCTTTCATTTGAGTACCCAGATGCATTTTCATATATACATATATAATATATATATATAAATATATAAAATATATGAAAAATTAATGTGGGTACTCAAATGAAAGGTCTCGATGAGTATAACATCAAGATGAGCTTATATCTTTAGAAATGTCAATATTTCAGAGGATAAAAGGTCATTTCTTAATTATCGACATTTTTAAAGATATAAGCTCATTCTGATGTTACACTATTCAAGAGCTTTCATTTGAGTACCCACATGCATTTTCATATATTTTTCATATATACATATATATAATATATATGAAATATATACATATAAAATATATGAAAAATTGATGTGGGTACTCAAAAGAAAGGTCTCGATGACTGTAATGTCAGGGTGAGCTTATATCTTTAAAAATGTCAATAGTTCACAAGATACAAGGTCATTTCTTAATTATTGACATTTTTAAAGATATAAGCTCATCCCGATGTTACACTCATCAAGACCTTTCATTGAAGTACCCACATGGCAATTTTTATATATTTTATATAAATATAGTATTTATAAAATATATGAAAAATTGATGTGGGTATTCAAATGAAAGCTCTCGATGAGTGTAATGTCGGGGTGAGCTTATATCTTTAAAAATGTCAATAGTTCACAAGATACAAGGTCATTTCTTAGTTATGTATCTAGAGATAGAGCATTTTCAAATGCTTATTATAATAAATTGACTATCGGTAAAATAATGATATGAATCCTTGAAAAGGCACAAATTTAAATCAAGACCTTTGTAATGACACTAAATTTCACTAAAAAAGTAACGATTCGATCATGTGACTATCCTGGAAAAAAAATTTATCCTAATTGAACAACCACCCATTAAATAATTAAACAATTTCTACCGTAATTAATATCAACATTAATAATTAAAATAATTATAAAATATTAGATAATGTAATACAATATGAATAATTAATTAGCTTAAATGAAATAGGAAAAAAATAATTCAATTAAATACACATTTATATTCATTCGTTAATAATATACTTGAATTTCAAATTATACATACTCACTCATAACAATAACAATAATCATGATCCACATTATGAAAAAGTTATCGGAGTAATTAAATTACGAACTTAATTGAATCATTATTATTCATAAATATATTATGTATATATTTTAATGAATTTCTATTAATTAAATTTATGACATGTTTTATTTGATTAATAATTAATAATAATAATTAATCAGAGCTCTTGTGCTTTCGGTAATTAAAAATAGACAAAAAATGCTAATTAGCGTCATTATTAATTAAATTACTTAGTTAAATTAGGAGCAGAAAATAAATATAGGCAGCGATGAGAATAATGACTTAGAGCGAAGTCTAGCGAGCAAAGGAAAGATCGAGGATAAAGTTACCGGCCAACCCGACTGTGGGTAACGATCTATACACTGATGACGGCTGACTGCGTCTCTGTAAACTGTAAAACGATGTTGCGAACAAAGAGACTAAATTGTTGTTTTTTCAAAAGAAAAAAAAAAGAATATTTTAATATTTTTTATTATTATTAATATCATTATTGTAATTAAATTATTTGCTCTACGTTACCTTACTCAAGCTGGATTCATTTACCGAGTGATCGAGATTTATCATACTGGAAATCAATACCGGGTTCCGATTTTTGATGCAAGAGTTCTCACGATCGATATTTTATTATTTTTATTTAGGATTTTATTTTCTTATTATTTATAAGTTCAGAATTTTTTGCTAGAAAAGAACAATATCTGTAGGATTTTTTTTTAATTTTATTGTAATTAAAAAAATGAAAATTTTTAGTCAAATATTAATTAAAAAAAAAAAATTATTATCTATTTTAACAAATGTATTTTTTGTTAATTATTTACATAATTGTGAGGGTAAACTTTTTTTTAAATACTTAAAATTATTTTTTTTACCAGAAAAAATTTCTAAAAAAAAAAAGTTTTAAATAATTTTACATTATTGCATAAGAGTCCAACTAAATTTTATTTATTAATTATTAAGATTTTTTTTTTATAAACAACGCAATTGGAGGAATATATTTTTTGAGAAAAAAAATTAATATAATTTTTTGGAGTTATTTGCAACTCATTATTTTCAATAAAAAAAATATATCTATATTTTAATGAAATATTTCCAATGAATGGTCAAAATCCTAATATAAAATTGAGATGAAATGTATGTGGCATCAAACTATTCGTAACGTGATTGGTCGAATATATCATAAGCATGAAAATATATGCAAACTCTATAGTCAAAGCGCGCGCTTGCGCGCGTAAATTCAAATTCTAGTAATTATCAAAAGACAAATTATTAAAATACGAAAATTTTTTTAAAATAAATACTACTCATATAAATTATAATTTACTCTTCAAAGCTCTTCTGTGACTTTTGTGAAAAAAAAAAAAAAAAAATTTTCCCCAAACAAACTTTAATTAACTATCAAAAAGTGTACTAATAATACCCGTTGGAAAAAATCGGCAGCCGAGGGATGTTTGTTTAATAACATATTAAAATCTTTTCTCCTATCACATTACATATTCCCTGTTTAATTCCAATGGATCTAGAAAATTTAATTAAACATAATATTAAAGTTTTAATAAGCTCCGTTTCGAATTTTAGAGGCCGTCTGCAATGGGCGAAATAAAAAATAAAAACAATACAAATTCATAATTAAATATACGGAGTATAATTAAACGTTGTATATTTTAAATTTTGTGCGGTCATAGAGCGATGAATAGAAAGCAAATAGAATAAAACCGCCCGGGGCTGACAAGGACCGATACACATACATAACTATATATAACATAATATGCCACTGCATATAGTGTAGTATACACGCGTATTGTATCGCGCATAAATGTAGTCATGCATGCATGCATACCCTCAATGTGTTTGTAATTTAAAATTTTTTTCTCCACATTGTTCTCCGGGAAACAAAAATTAAGCTGCACTTTTGTCTCTATTTAATATTTTATTTGGTTTATCGAGAGCTTTTATTTATTATTGATGTCCGCTCGGATTTATTAAACAAAACTGAGTGCGTATTAATTACGCGCATAATATTTTATTAATTAAAAACATATTTGATGTGTTCCACACGTTTTTTTCGATCCCCGGAGCTCGCTACTCCTTTGGGGGTGTAATGTTTTCAAAATATAAACATGGTCACTTTTTTTTATTTTAACAATAGGAGTTGAAGGTATAACTTGTTGTTCGATTTAAATAACAAGCAAATATTAAATTTAAATAACAAGTTTACATAAAAATTATTTCATTTTTTAAAAAAGTCTCGATAGAGATAAAAAGTTCAATAAATTTATTTATTTATTTGAAAACAATTATTTAATTCATTTAGTATAAGCAATTTTTTTTTAAGTATCAATTAATAAATTTGATGAGAAAAACTTTAGTAAAAAACCGCGTTAATTACGTTTATCGTAGAAAATGCAGTGGGGGGGAGAGAAGTTACTAGTAGCGCCGCGAACGGTGGCGTCCTTAACTAAATCTTTATCCATCGTTTAATTTTGAGGAATTGACGATTATTTATGCTAATATGGGTATTTACAATAATGTATTAGAGTAATTAATAAGTTTAAAAATTTTTATAAATAAAAAATTAAATAAAATTTATAAAAATGAAGTTAGCCGACATTTCAAAATTTTTAGAAATTTTTTATTGAAAAAATTTTAATTAAAAATTAAAAAAAAAAAATTTCACTTATAAAAAACTTAAGAAACTATAAGTGCAATTTTTTAGAAATATCTTTTTAGTTGTAATTTAATTAATAAAAAAAATCAAAAATTTCAGACGTCTGCTAACTTCAGTGTCATTAAATTTTTAGAAATAAAAAATTCAAATTTTTAAAAAATGGTTTTTATTTAAAAAAAAAAAATCTTACTTACCAGCTTTTGAAAATTTTTAGTCTTGAATCGGCAGTAAATTATCAAAAGATTCGTAGAAAAGCGACTGATTTGGAGTTTCTGGGCCTCTTGGCTTTAAATTTACTAGACTAACGACTCTAACGAGACATTAGAAGGCACGGACACGTACCAACCGCGAAATACAGGGGCAAGCTAGTTTGAAGTGAGGGTGAAGGTGAGAAGGAGGGTGGGACGACTGAATCCTGGTCCTGGATATACCTCACACTTCGAATAATACAATGAATTAATGAAAAATTCATAGTTAGAGCCGTAAAGTTTTGATATTGTTCTGCATTATTTATTTTTTAATTTAAAAATAAAAATTTTATATTAATTATTATTGTTGTAATTTATAGTTAACATTTCAATTTATTAACTATAAATAATGATATTAATATCAATGTCATATCAAGTTAATGCTCGACTTGTTACAGACAAAAACTGGTGGTGTGAAGGATACGATTAGGCGGCTCGATTTCCCAATAATGTAACCAGTGGCTCGAAATAATGCCGAATTATTTTTCGGTAAACTTTTTTAACCGTGAAAAATATTTCTCATTGTCCCTTTTTCCATTGTGTTTCATAACAATACCCCTATCGGGCATTCTGCTACCTACCAATCGGCGAATTACATAACCTGGTGTAGATCGGGATACCGGTAATCGATAATCCGCGTTTTGTACATTGAATTCGAAAATTTAAATGTTTGGCATTGTTCTGGCTAGGCTAGGTCGGCTCACATTGGTTTAAATAGAACTGGAGGCCAGAGTATGAAAATTCTCATTTTTTTTGATGAAGTACAATGTAGAGATAGAGGAAAATTTTTTTTAAAATTGATTGAAATTTTTTCGGATATTATCAACTTTTTATAGTAGAAATCTAAAAAATAATTGGCACTGTAAGTTGTTTAAGAGACATTGAGCCATTTTCGAACTCAAAACTCGCGAAATCTGCCAATTAGTTGATTTGTTGGCTTTTCGAATGCAGAAACGAACAACAATACATACTTTTAAGAGTAATTGGTATTTTTTTCATTAAAATCGAATAATTTTATCGACTTTTTTCCTACATCCCCATTCTTTCAAAATTTTTCAATGAAAATATCAAAGACTTAAGAAATAATTTTTTCCACTTTAACCATTAATTTTTACAACTCTTCGCCTGCATTTCAAGAAACTACATACTTTGAAGAGTAATTGGTAATTTTTTCATTTAAATTGAACAATTTCATGAACTTCTTTCCTACGCCTCCATTTCTTTAAAAAATTTTCTGTTAAATTATCAAAAATTTAAGAAATCAATTTTTAAATAATTTTGTCCACCTCAACTATCAATTTTTTCAATTCTTCGCCTGGATTTCAAGAAACTACATACTTTGAAGAGTAATTGGTAATTTTTTCATTTAAATTGAACTATTTTATCAACCTCTTTCCTACGCCCCCATTCTAAAATTTCTCTAAAATCTCAAACAATCATATCAATTTCCCTCAATAATTTCCAATACCGCTGAAATCCAAAATTAATGATAACTTAATTCCATTGCATCGTTTCACTCCTAAACAAAATTAATTAACCCTATAATTCCGGTTACAAACTCCCATTATACCTCCCTTCGCTCTAAATAATGAAACCCCCGCAGTACACTAGTACACAAAATAATTAAACCTCCAAAACAATATCGAAACTATTAAATTTTCACACTCTACCCGGCATCACGCGTCACGTGGTCACAGTCCCGTAACCATAAATATACGCTAATAGCCTCGAGCATAGAGCACGCGCATGCGCAAATTCTCTGCACCTAACTTAAGTGAGATTTCATTAATTTTTTGGGCAAACAGATGGACGTGACCGGGAATATGCTTGTATGATCCATAATAAACACCCTTCGGAAGTTTCCAAGCGCGCTCCGCGAATTCTCATCGAATTTTTCCTTTTTCCGCTTCGGAACAATCCAGAAAAACATTTGTTAGTTACAGTCCGTGAAATAGCAGATTGAAATCAATCACGGCGAAATTTTCCGGTAGATAAATAAACATCCAGTTCAAAAGTGGCTTTTATTCCGTACTTTAAAGGGCGGCGCTTTTTATTGATTCAATCAAACAGCGATTCGTGGTTGGAAGCAACATATAGTACATACCTGGTAAATGAAATTAATTGTTTATGTTATTTTTATTTTTTTTTGTTTTATTTATTCGGAAGCAAACAAATTCAGTACAAATAATTAAATCTGGTGTAGCTTTAGTTTGTTGTCTTGATATATTTGTTGTTGTTATTGATCAATCATGTTACATAGAACCTGTTAAATCTACATGAAGCATTGTTGCAAGTTTGTTTCGGATTTTATAAAGCTTGCAACAAATTTAAAATAAAAAGCGAACTTTGATGGAAAATAATGAAAAAGTTTTAATAAAAATTAGGGAATGAAATGGAGCAAAAGTTAACCTAAGAGCTTTCATCAAGATCTAATTGTTATGAAGCGGTGGTTGATGCACTTGGTGGTGTGTTTGCTGAAGATGTTGGCGTGTTCGGCGGCGCATAAGGACTTCCGCAGAGCTGGTCCGCGATTCTTCCTCCCTCGCGCAATCCGCTCAGAAAGGCGCCGTGGACTGTTGCTGGGTAGTTTCTGATTGTGTGCTCGCCTAAAAAAATTTTTTTAAAGAGTTTTAGGGATTTTTTGTAATAGGAAAAAAAGCAGTTTTGTAAATTTTTGTTTTTTTTTTTTTTTTGGATTTATAGAAGCTTAGAAGGGTAAAATAAACAATTTTAAAGGAAATTTTTTATGTTAATTTTTATTTGAGCGTATCTTTAAAGCTTAATAGTTTGGAAACTATAGGTTTCTACAACTAAAACTCATTAGGGCTTTTTTTGTAAAGAATTTACGCTCTACTAAGTTTTTAATAAATTTAAAAAAAAAAAAATTTTAATACCGAAAAATTGAGTTGAAACTCCAAAAAATTAATTCTTTGTTGGATTCTCTGAGCAAAAATAAATCCCAGTTACAAACTTTTAGTTTAATATTTTAGATATTTAGTTCTTAGAAATATTTATTTTAGAAAAATAATGTAATTTATTTTATTAGTTTTTAAATGTGAAAAATACATTTAAGGCACATTTGTGCTGCTAGAATAAGAAAGCCTGTATAGGCTTGATTTTATGACCTTAGGTACTTGAGTAGTACAAAGGACTCCTTATTTTACACTATACAGTACAACCAAATATTACGGTCTTAGTTAAGAAGAAAAACATGTGTTTTTCTAAGGACAATACAGAGGGTTAGACCTCACAATAAAATAGTTTTTAACATTATAGTTAGTCTGCGACTAAACTCTGTCAAGTAACTACACTTCTCTCGATACGATTCCTTTTTAAAATAAAGATTCTATTTGAATCACTCTATGTGGATAATAATATTGTCTTAAATACTTTATTTATTATTAATCCTATCCATAACTTCCTACATTTCTGTATTATTTAATTGGGAAATCAATTAATAAAAAAATTGGAGTAATTATTTTAAAATGAGGATTAATTAATTATTAAATTGGAGTAATTAACTAAAATACTGGTTTAATTGATAAAAAATTGGATTAATTAACCAATTCAACAAAAAATATAGGGAAAAAAGCTGATTTTTTTTAAAAAAAAAAAGCAATTTTGGAGTAAAACTTTTTGATATTAAAAATTTTTTTTAACTTCATCTTTCAAGCTCAACGTCTTGGAAACTATCGATTGTAGAACTAAAACTCATTAAGACTTTTTTGTAAATAATTTAACGCTTTACAAAAAGTTTCTAATGAATTTAAAAAAAAAAAAAATTTTAATACCGAAAAATTGAGTTGAAACTCCGAAAAATTGATTCTTGTATTATTTAATTGGAAAATTAATTAATAAAAAAATTGGAGTAATTATTTAAAAGTGAGGATTAATTAATTACTAAATTGGAGTAATTAATTGAAAAATTGGTTTAATTGATGAAAAATTGGATTAATTAAACAATTTAATCAAAAAAATAGGAAAAAAGCTGATTTTTGGCTGTAACTTACTAACTAAAGTGTCATATCGACCCGGCATATTTTCCCTACTCTATGTAGTGACTCAGCTGTTACGAGTAATGTATTCTTCGGTAGTATAGTGGTCAGTATCCCCGCCTGTCACGCGGGAGACCGGGGTTCGATTCCCCGCCGGAGAGATTTATTTTTTATTTTTTTCTTTTTCAATATTTTTATAATTCAAAAATTCGATAAAAAGTTATTCGGAAAAAAAAATTTTTTTTTGGAAGAAATTTAGTCGGGTAAATGAAGGTATTACTGCTGATTTTTTTGTTTCAATTATAGATAAGCTGTATATGAGCTTGTTAAAAAGAAAAAAAAATGATTGATAGTAAGTAAAACCTCAAAAAAATATTTGCATAGTAGTTATTAAGGAAGTATGAGCACCAAGGCAACTTTTGATAAACGGCTTGATTTTTTTTTAATATGAAGTTTAAATATGTCTAAACAAATCCTTAAAATTTTAAGGAGATTGCCCGATCATTTGAATAAATAATTAACTTTATAGTTGAGCAATTTAACATTGGTCTTATGGGGTAACCTTCAAACATTGATATATTTCTGTATTTTTCTCGTAAAACTGTCGGTGAATAGTTTTAAAAAACTTATGGATGAAAGTAAATATATTAGTGATAGATTTAATTCAAAAATATTTACACTTGCCCGACTAATTAAAGTGTATTAATTGAAAGAAAAATAAATGCCGCCACTAGCCAATGTTAAATGTATATCTATATATTGAAAAAAATCATATGGAAAAAAGACACGTGGAAGAGGTTGTGGCGTTCCAGAAGGTTGATTCGCTGGCGGGGGTGGCGCTACAGGCGCAGCAAGAAGATCATAGTCGCTTCCTGAACTACCAACTGCGACGAAACTGTAAGACCCACGAGCCCATGGGTCCGCGCGCCATCTTGTGACGACGCTCTCTCGTGGTTGAGGCACTACTTGGTTTCCAAATATACCCTGTAGATATAATAGTAATAACAAAAATTTTAATTTTTAATTTATAACACGTGGTTTCCCGACTTATAAAGGTTTTTTTTTTAAATTTTGGCCAAAATATCAAAAATATGAAAATATATCATGTATACAAACTATTCGTAACGTGATTGGTCGAATATATGCATGAAAATATATGCAAACTTCATAGTCAGGCGCAAATTTGAATTCTAGTTTATTATCACTGGCTATATGTACAATAGTAATGCAGCACGAAAATTAATAGTAAATCCAACATGATGGAATCATGTTGCAGCCACATGATTTGTCATGTTTCGGCCGCATGACAATCATGTTACGGTAGCATGAAAAAGATCATGTTGCGGTAGCATGAAAAAAATAATTTGGCAGCAACATGATTTTCATGTAGTTTTAATAGCACAAAATTAAACTGCAACAACTAAATATTTATGCTTCCGAAACATTATTTATGTTACTGATTTCCTCATGTTACTAATACACGATTGTCATGTTGCCAAAACATGACAAATCATGTTGCTGCCACATGATTTTTCTCATGCTACTGATACATGATTGTCATGTAGCCGGAACATGACAAATCATGTATCCAACATATTTTTTATTTTTAATCCAGAATTTCAATTTTTTAATTTAAAAATGTGATTTTCTGACTGAAGTTTTTTGAAAATTTTAGCCAAAATATCAAAAATTGATGAGGGATTTTTTTGTAGAACTTAAAATTTTCTACAAAAAATGTCTCTTATGACTTTTACGTATTTTTGATTCTTCACCCATAATAATAATTTAAAAGAAATAAACTCATAATAACAACAACAATGTTAAAGTGAGAGTAACAAACAAGAACAAGCAACTGTTCAGCCATCCATTAGAGAAGTTTAACCGCATCGCAAACCAAATTCTCGTGCTCTGCAGACATTTCGCTGCTGTTAGACCCGGAATGGGAACCGAATAAGAAGCCAAGTAAATATAAACTAAGGGACTGGATCGTTTGTGCAGAGAACGTAAACATGTGCACGAAAAGGCAGAGCAGAAATAGAATATATTAGAGGCATATCTAATGTATGTGCGAGCGTTAGATACTCGGTCGGGTGAGCAGGCACCCAAGTGTGCTGGTATATTGGTTACATTAGCGTACACACTTACCTTCAGCACAGCAATGCAGCGACCGACAATAACGTCGTCGCTGACATTTTCCATAACGCAGGCGGCCTCGCCTGCTACCAGAGCCAGGAGAACGGGTGCCTTGTACAAGTTCCAGAACAGAAATAGCTCGCCGCGGGAGGCCGTTGTGCTCCCAACGTGCCCGAACAGATTCGCCGTTGGGTCCCAAAAAATTCGCTCGAAACACAGCACCACCTAAGGTTGGACAATTGAGAAATCATCAGGTTTAATAGTTCTTCACAGGTAGAAATTTTATTTTCAATACTACAGAACTGAGGAAAAGTTTGGACCATAGTAATGTATTCACTTTTGAAAATTTTAGCAGTAAAAAATTTATTTTTGAAGTAACAATTCAAAGTTTGAAAAAAGTTAACAAATTATCAGACTTTTGATGGTTCTTTTTAAAATAACTTTTGAATGTGATAACTTATCGATTTTTTTTAAAATTCATCTGAAAGCTCTTTAAGTAAGCTTTAATTTCCATACTTATGTTTTTTTTTTTTTTCGCTTTAACATTACTTATTTTTCTTTCAATTTGATAAGATTCTTAAAAGCAATTTCATAGAAATTCAAATTTTAACACTTTCAATGGTTCTTTTGGAAATAACTTCTGAACGCGATCATTTATCCAATTTCTATATGCTGTACTTGAAAGGTCATTAAATAAGCTTTTATTTTCATTTTTAGTTGATATTTTAATCAAAAAATTACCTAATTTTTCACTCATTTAATAAAATTCTTAAAAAATGTCTTAGAAATTCAAATTTTCACACTTTTGATAGTTCTTATTGAAATAACTTTTGAACGCAATAATTTATCACATTTCTGTATGCTGTACCTAAAAGCTCATCAAATAAGCTTTAGTTTTCATTTATATTTGTTATTCTAGCCCTAAAATTACTTATTTTTCCACCTATTTGATGAAATTCCCACAATATTGCTTAGAAATGCGCATAATCAGACTTTTGATAGTTCTTTTGGAAATAACTTTTGAACGCGATAATTTATCACATTTCTGTAAAATGCATCTGAAAGCTCATAAAATAAGCTTTAATTCCAATGCCTATTTATTTTTTTTCTCCAAAATTAACCTATTTTTCCACCCACTTAACATATAAAACAGCCCATTAAACTCTGCCAATTTTCATTAACTCCAAAAAAACTTTCCGTTTTATCGAACTTACCTTGTTCAAATTTCCAAATCCGAGTCTCTGGATAGCCTGGGTCTTCCAATCAGGCAATGGCGGATCAAAAGTGACCGCCGAGGGGGGAGTAGAAGCCTTCAAGACCCCCAAGGGCAAGGTCACCAAAACTGCGTCGGCTTTGTGGACAGTGACATTTGTGTGCGGACTTCTAGATGGCGCTGCCCAAACTTCGACACCATTTTCGTTGTACCTCACAATTCGGACGGCGGTGTTGAGACGGATGTCGAGACCCTCGGAAAGCGCGACCGGGACGCAGGAGTACCCATTCCTCACTGCAATAAAAATAAAAGCGATAAATAATAAATAAATAAATTCCAATAACAATAATTATTTTTTCGGAACAAAAGCGTCCAATAAAATTTTATAGGGCTGTAAAAAAAGTCGTAATAAAAAATGTTACTTATGGTATCAGTATAGTTTTTTGTCGCTATAAAAAAGTTCAAGCGTCTCGTTCATTTTTTGCTGATAAAAAACGGAGCTTATAAAGTTTAAGTTTTGCGGGAGTAAATGATGGCGAACATTGAGATAATGCACGGATGATGCACGTAAAACAACGGGGACTGGGGAGGTGTTACAGCGGACATTCAAATTCCATAACCGTGAGCGTACCATAAGAGGTATGTTCTAATAATGACGCTTATGTATCTCTGCTCGTGGGTTAATTACGGCGAGGCTTGTGCGTGGCTACCATCAAGGCACCAGTCGTCTACTTTGGCTTACCAGCTCGTATACGTAGTCCATTCCGTTAATTAAAATTTATGCCGGCAATCTGTTAGCCCGGCGAAACCTTCGTAATTTAAATTTGCATTTTCGTTCATCGATCCCTTTATTACGAGGGCCAAGTACCAAAAGTATTATCTTAAGATACCAAATTTTATGGGCCGTTTGATTATCTACAACTCGGTTTTTTTGAATAGTGATAAGAGAATAGTATTCTGGGTGATTAAAGGCCAATTTTCCCGATTTTAAAGATATTAAACATAATAATTATTATTTTTTTAATTAATCAAAACGAAATATGTATTGTGACAGACGAAAAACAACTATATCTTCTAAAATATTGATCGTAAAAATTTATGAATGATCTAAAATTTTTGAAAATTAAATTTTATATAACATTTCGGCTGCCTAATTTTAAAACACAGTATATTTAATTATTTTTTATTCATAAATCAAATTTATCATCAATTTGGTGGGCAAATTTTTTTTTAATAAGAAAAATTGAAAAAAATTTTTTTGTAAAATCAATATTTTTCAAACTACAGCCATTTTTTCGGATAATATAGTATTCAGTCACCTAATATAGTGTTTCCAAAAATGTAATATTCTAAATTATACAAAAACTAACTATATCTTCCAAAATATTGATCCAACAAAAATTTTCAATGTTCAAAATTTAATTTTCTCCAATTTTTGTCCTAACAATTTTTTTCTAAATTCAATAGCTTAAAAATTAAAACCATTTTTAACAGTATTTTTAATTTAATCTTTCCAAAAATTGTAATTCTATTATAAATAACATTTTTTAGGTCAAAAGTTCATTTTGAAGCATATTTCTCCAGCAGAAAATAGATTTATTGGATTAATTTATCAATTTTATCATTTCAAGTACTGCAGATCTAAATAAATGAAACAGTATTCTATTTTTGTAAGTTTGTAACATGGAATGTAGCGATACATCTTTTCAATTATTCAATTTGGATTTTATGAAGTTCTGTCAGTTGACATATTTTGGTCGCCAAAAATACGGAGTTTAATTTAAATTGACTTTAGGTAAATTTCAATAATTGAGTTAGATATTTCTAGACACCAACTATTTTCAGTAAAACAATTGGTTTATTCTGTTGCACTAATAAAATTACTAGTTTTTGACACACTAATTTTTTGATGGAAAAAAAAATCTATTATTTCCGTTCTTGATAGATTAAAGCAAAAAAAAAAAAGCATCATTTAAATCGTGAATCGATAAAAAATAAGCCTTGGGGGTGTGAAAATTCCGGAGAAGGGGACCGGTATCACTTTTAAATGGCTTTCGCTTTCGATTACGTGTTAACCGAACAAAACCCGGGGACTTGTAGTTCAGTGATGATTATTTATAGACCATGGAGTTCACTCGGCGCTGTCGATTATTTAAAAAGGCAGATAGATAGATAGATACACAGTATAGATGCATAGATATATAGTAAGGTTTATAGAGCTCGACGTGTGCTATAAGACATGAGAGCTCGTAAAAAAGAGTCAAGTATCGCGTGCGAATGCACGACTCTTGATCCAGGAACATGCTAGAGAAAGTGCAGATGCTTGCTGAGTATCACGATCAAATGTTTATGCATGCTCTCGACTTACTTTCTTTTTATTTTAAAATGAAGTTTGAGGCGAAAAGAGCAATAGTTGATCACATTTCCGAAAAGCGAATTCCCGAGGAGGTTACTGCAGGCGTAAACATAAACAGAATCCTCAGAATTGTGGGTGACGTTTGGTAGGGTGTCGTCTGTTTGATCTTACCTCTCGCCATACTATATTTTTACGGTGAGTCGAACAATTTGTATGCCACGGTGCTTTTCAATTTACATTTAAATTGGTTGCTTATGGCTATAGCTACAAGGCTCTGCAGCTCGACGGGAGTCGGGCTCGAACCTACGTCCTCTTATTATATCGGGGAACAGTCAAATACTCAGCTCGCTACTAAAGATAATATGAAGGAGAAAGAGAGAGAGAGTTATCTTGGTGGCTGGATAATGATAACAAGAGGATAAAGATAAAATAATAATCCAACATGAATGAATCCCAGAGAACATGGAAAAAAAGCTGGAGAGTTACAGAAAATTCAGTTTAATTTGGAGGCTTAGTGCTGTTGAGATGTTGGAAAAGTTTTATTTAAGAATTTTTATAGGGTTAAAACTGGCAATATGTTAATGTATGATTTTTTGTGGGACAAATGTTAAATTAATGTAGAATGTAAAGAAAATGTAAATATACTATTAGGAAATTTGTAAATTTTGGGTTGGAATGTATTGTGAATTTGGCTGGGAAAAATATTAATTTTCATCGAAAGATATGTTAATTTTTAATGTAAAGAAAATTTTAATTTTACATGGAAAAAATTGGAAATTTAGAATGTAAAGAAAATGTAAATATACTATTGGGAAATTTAGAAATTTTGGGTTGGAATGTATTGTGAATTTGGCAGGGGAAGAATATTAATTTTTTGGAAAGATATGTGAATTTTGAATATAAAGAAAATTGTAAGTTTACATGGGAAAAATTGGAAATTTAGAATGTAAAGAAAATGTGAATATACTGTTAGGAAATTTGTAAATTTTGGATTGGAAATATTGTAAATTTTGCAGAAGGAAAAATTTTTAACTTAAAACGAAAAATATGTAAATTTAGTGTGAGAAAATTTGTAAATTTTGCATTTGAAAAAGTGTAAATTTCACATGTAAAGTAAATTTTAATTTTATATGAGATAGATTTTAAATTTGGCATGTAACGAAAATGTAAACATACTATTAGGAAATTTGTAAATTTTATAAGTGGAAAATATGTAAATTTGGAATATGAAGAAAATGTAAATTTTACATGGAAAAAAATGTAAATTTAGTATATGGAAAATGTTAATAAATTTACATAAAAAAAATTTATAAATTTTATATGTGAAAAAATGTCAAGTTTACATGGAAAAAATGTAAATTTAGAGTTAAAAAATTTTTTTAATTCCACAATGTTGAAATAATTTAAATTTTTCAAGTGAAAAAATTCTGTAATTTTCACATATAATTTTTTTTTTATAGTTTGTCGACCTCTGACCAAAAAATTATGTCCACCGTTTATACCTTTTATTCCTTGGTTCGATCAGTAACAGCGCTTTAGAGCGAGAATCGGGAATCAGAGCACGGGGCTTTTAAAAATTCCCGCATATGTGGATGTAGCTATAGCAAAAAGGGTGGAATGGAGGAAACAGGGCGGAGGCTTAAACTGAATACTCTCTTGTCCTCAGGCTTTTTAATTCTCTTGTCCCGCCGGATTCCAAACCACCACCGACACTTTGTTCGTGAATTATTCCAGCAAATTGGATTTACCGCGGTACAATCCGCGAATTTTATATGGAATTGCCACATCAAAACCCCCTTGGTACATGCTTTTATTTTATTAATTTAGGGGCTTTCGTTATTTCTGTTTTTCATTTGCTAATGTTTCACTTTTTACGAATATTTTCAATCATAGGACTTGTTCCCCATAAAAAAAAAAAAAAAAAAAATTTCTTCTCAATTTTTTTAAGAGAAATATTAAATTTTTAATCAGCTAAAAGCAAAAATTACTGCTCAGAGCAAAATCAATTTAGACTTTTACGTCAGTTAAATTTTATCAGGAGTCAGAGTGCTGACAGGCTAGAAGCGAAACGGGTGAATGGGCAGTCGTTATAGGAAAAGATTCCCACGTGGAAAGTCAATGACTGCTGTTAACTCCGAACATAAGGGCTCGACGTACATTTCCCAATTACCGGTCTGCAGACTCGCCGTTAAATTGCTGTGGCTATTGATAAAAAATCCTTCAACTGTTATTACGGACAACAATGCGTAGATAAAATGTTATCGGTGATTATTTATATTTTTTTTTTTTTGAGTCAATTTTTAAAACCAAAAAATTTTCAAGTGTAATTAAATTAAAAGGAACAAACTCAACTGGCCCGATTTAATAGCAACAAAGAGCTCGACTTGACAACAAACTCGGAGTAATTACCTCGGAATTATTGGACGGACATTCACAGGGTTCCTCGGATACTCAGGATCGCCGGTTTAAGTAAAACTCGTGGGCAGAATAATGGACAAATGTTTTAAGTTAAGTATTTAACGTAACACACCCCAACTCGGAGCTGGGTACCCCTCATTAAACCTCTTTCTCCACGCCCATTATTCGATAACTCCTACGCACACTCTTTACCATAATCTTTACCGTAATTTTGTAAAAATTCAATTTACAACGACCTACGTGGATAAACCCTCTGGGAATCACTTATATTATATAATTTACTTTGTTTTTATTTTCAATATTTTTATACCCGTAATTCCCGCTTATTTGTCGATTTGTTGATAAACTCTTTACTATTATTACATAAATAAATATGAAACTGATTATTTGAGAAAGATATCGGCTAAGATATCGTGCACGCTACGACAGTTTTTCCTATTTTTTGCATTGAGAAAATTCCTTGGTATGGAAATTTTTTTCTATGTTAATTTATTTTTTCTTTTTCTAAGAAAAATAGAGAAATTGGAAATTCATTATTACTCTTTGAAATTCTGTAACTTTTGAACCAATTGAGATAGAAATTTGTTTGAAAATTCATTTTTTAAAGCTTGAATCTTAAGTTACAATTTCACTTTTATAATGTTTTATGTGCAATCAATAGTTTCAAAGATATCAAATTTATAAGAATTACAAGCTTAGTTCATAATTTTCAATTGTTGGAAACTCATTATTAATATTTGATGGCTCATAACTTTTGAACCAATTGAGGTAAAAAATTGGTCCAAATTTTATCAGAAAGCTTAGATTTTAAGCTACAATTGCATTTTTGTAATGATGTATATTAAATCAATAGTTTTTGAAATATAAAATTTGAAATAATGATAGTTGTAGTTCTTGATTAATAATTTTTGGAAACTTATTATTAATCTTTAAAGTTTC